GCAAGTCCTAGGCTCTGTGGGTTAACCCACAGTGCCACCCGTGTCCCTTACCTATCACTATATTTTGGAGCAAACGATCTCTATTTTCTTTAATTGTCACTGTAATCTAGGATTTTTATTAAGGGGATGAGAATGGTTTCAAAAAGGATAGAATATAAGAAAGAGAGAAGAGTGGTGAATGAATTGTGTTGGGGGGGGAATACAATTAAAATACTTGGGTCTCCTGTTGCTGTGTTAGGGATTTCTGTCCCTAACATTTCCAGGTAAGTCTGGAAAGGTCCCTTGCCTGAAACCTTCGTGAGATGATGTCAGCCAAGGTATAGACAATTCTGAGCTAGCTAGACAGACTAGGATAAGGCAGATTTCTATGTTCCTAAAGACAGCTCCAGAGAAATTCCTTTTCTTGCTTCCCTTGTGCAACTCATCTTTCAAGGTCTTTTAAACTTTAACATATGACTTTGAAAGGGGTGTGGAGTGGGTGGGAAGGCTTTCACAAAGCTCGGGGCAATTTTGTCCTGCAAAGCTGTTTGCAGTTCTTGAGAAACCGTGTTCAGTCCTGATGACTGGGAAAGTTGGCAGGAGCCTGAAGATGGGAGTGGTGGTGGGGAGGCGTTCCCGGAGGTTGGCCTTTGAGAGGATAGACTGGTAGTGTATGAAAAGGAGGGCCGCATTCAGCAGCGGCTGGTGCCCCTTGATTGGGTGGAAAGCAGTGAGGCCAACTAAACTTGGAGCCAGAGCCAATGACAGGGGGAGCCCTCCAATTCTAGATCTGCCCTCATCTTGTGGTGGTTGGTGCCCACCAGGACTGGCAGGAAGAGAAGAAGGGAAAGCTATTGCTCATGACAGACAGAGTCTAGTTTTGTCCCCATCTTCCTCTGTGTTGAGCAGTGGATGAGACTCTTGATCTGAGGGTCATGGGTTCGAGGCCCAAGTTGGATGATAGATTCCTGCGCTACAGAGCGTTGGACCAGACGATCCTCACGGTCCCTACCAACTCTACAGTTCTGCGAGTTCTGCAAAACCAGCAATGAGACTAAAGAGGTGGAAGTCAACAGGCAGTGCCACCGCCTGCACTGGTTGTAAGCAAGAAGGCAGGCAGGTGGAGCCTGGCTGAGGGAAGTGTGAGGTTGGTGGGGCAGTGCCAACCTCTGCTGTCCCCATCTCCCTTCCTCCCAAGTTCTACAAGGGCAAAACTGAGACGGAGGAGAAAGAAGCTGACAGCCAGGGGCACCTCTTGGGATGGACGAAAGCAGGAGGGGCTGGCTAAGGGCAGACTAAAGCTGGTGGGGCAGGGCCCCATTCACCCTAATGGACCACCTTCCACTGGCTACAGGGGTGCGTCAAACCACACAGCGTCTGTAAAAAGCAAGCATCTGCAGAGGCGAGCATAGAAGGAAAGATACTCTGCCAGAAGGACAGAAAGAATGAGTGGCGATTTGATGGGCATGGCAGGTCTGATGAATCCTGCAAGCTTCCATGCATTTCTGCGGGGTCTTTTTTGCTCCACAATAAATGTGTGGCCGTGTTACTCAATTGCTGCAGAGGAGCCAGACATCTTTGCTCAAGGGAAATCAAATTTCCCCAGCATTCAAACGGTGGTTGCACAATTGTTATTGACACTGCCTGGATTTGTTCAGTAAACTCAGCAAGTATTCTCTTCTCTTCTCTCTCTTCCCACCTGAAAGTATAAATACTGAGTGATCTGAGTATGATTTAAGTTCCTTCTGTAGTAGAATTTTAGGCCATTTTAAATTCAATTCAGTTTTAATTTTAAATCAATGTTTCATACACTTAAATCTCTATTTGATTGTGGTCATTGCATTTACCATTTTTACCTATCTAAGAAGTGACCCTACTGTTTAAGCTTTTCCATTGTTACACCCCCCCCACAAATTATTCACACGATATTCTGTGTGTGTTTCAATGTTTTCTTAACTATATTTTACACTTCAGCAGAGCAGCTTGTAAAATTCTGAAGACTGCGAAAAAAAAGCTGATGACCACATGAATGAATTGTGAATTGAACTGGAATGGAGTTAGTTTCCCATTTGGAGGGGGCTAACTGGAACTGGAGCTAATTCATTTTTGGAGGGAGTAAACTGGAACTAGCTCCTTTTTAAAATGAACTTTCCAAGCACTGTATCATCAACTTCCAGAAAAGTATTTAAAGAAGCGTATACAACTGACAGATTAATGAATTAATCAATCTATCCAAGTGTTAGTGGGAACACACACACACACACACACACACACACACACACACACACACACTGCTGAACTACTTGGAACACAGATGAAACTGAACATCAGGTCTATAACACCATAATCCATTTCTTAACAACAACTCTGTCATATTATCTAGTCATATTATCTATTTCAGCTGCGTCCTGACCAATTCCTTTCTATGTGTCTTCTCTACAATTCAGTTTGCAGCTGAATGCTTTTAAACAATCCACTTCTGGGCAGAGTTAACTGGCAGCAATTGCAAAAACAAACAGTGGGATGGAAAATTGATTTTATTTTTCTCCATAGCGCTGCAAGGTTCAATACAGGGCAGAGCTTCTAGGGTCTGTCTTGTATTTGCACAGAACGAATAAGTGCCATGACTTCCTGCCTGGACTAGCAGGTAGGAATCCCCCACCCAAACATCTTCAAGGCTGGTAACTGCTTGGGATCAGTGATGAATGCAGCCTGCTCTGTTGGGGTGGCAAAGGGATCAGGACCAGAGGAGGCAGCGTTTCTGGACAGAAACAATGATGGACCGAGCCAGCCTAAGGCATTTTGCTGCCAGAGGAAAAGGACAAGGTGTCTCCCACAGAAGTACCAAAGCAGAGTGGGCTGGAAGTCAAATTTTACTTCCATGCTAGCATAGGTGCCAACTCCCTGGGACCTTGGGCACCCACAAAATTCCCCATGAAGGCGCCAGGCACCCACAAATTTTGGTGCCAGGGCCATGCACCCACGGCTCTGGGCACCCACAGTCATGGGGCCAAGCTGCTCTACTCAAGTATAAAATATACTTAAGAAAACATTGGAACACACACAGAATATCATGTGAATAATCTGCGGCGGGGTGTGTGTGTGTAACAATTGAAAAGCTTAAACAGTAGGGTCACTTCTTAGATAGGTAAAAATGGTAAATGCAATGACCACAATCAAACAGAGATTTAAGTGTGATGAAACATTGAATTAAAATTAAAATGGAATAGAAATTAAAATGACCTAAAATTCCAACGCAGAAGGAATTTAAGTCACATTCAGTTCACTCTGTATTTATAGGAACTACTTTCAGGTGGGGAGAGAGAGAAAAGAAGAGAATGCTTGGTGAATTTAATGAACAAATCCAGGCAGTGTCAATAACAATTGTGCTAAGCATCCTAACAAATGGGCCTGAGAGCTGCATATTAGTTCAGGGCATGCATGACAAAGCTGTGCAACGCTCTTAGATTTCCTACAGAAGGAGCTCAGCAGAAGCAGCGCTAAGCATCTTCCGCCTGAGGCAAGCGCCTCACTCTGCCTAACGGTACTGTGGAGGCCAGTCAATTGCGTGGAGAAACGTAGTGGAGTTTCCTTTCTGACTCACGCCCAGCAAACACACATTCGTGATCAGGGAGATGTAGGAAAACGGCTGCAAGCCAGCAATTCCTCCTCCTCCATCTGTTGTTGCACTAGGCATAAAACCTGGGAAAAGGGAGAGATGCTACACATACGTGTTTGGGAGCGGTTGTGAGGAAGCGCATGTTGGGGAGGGGGAGAAGATGCTGAATACATGTGAGGAATGGCAAGGGTTGAGGGGTAAAGACACACTTATTTGAGGGGTTGCAAGAAAGGGCAAGCATTGATGCCAAAACACGTTTGGTGGGTCGTGTGGAAGGGCAAAACATCAAGGGGGACAGTCTTGGTAGTAATAAAGGTTGAAGAGTGATGCATATTTGGTGGCTCCTGAGGAAAGGCGGGCATTGACGGCTGTGTGTGAAGAGACGCCAAACACACGTGTTGTGAGGGCCCTAAGGAAGGGTAAGCAGGAGAGACGCTGAACACACGGATCGTGAGGAAGGGTGGGCGTTGAGGCGTTTGTGTGTGCGCGCGAAGAGACGCCAGCCACACACGACCTGAGGGCTGTGTGAGGAAGGGCCAGCGCCGAGGCGTCGGAACGCGCGTGCTCGGCGCATCGTGAGGAAGGCCAAAACAACCCGCGTGTCGCGGAGAGCCGAGAACCCGGACCGCGCTGAGGGAGGCGTGGAGCGGCGGCGGCGGCGGCCATTAAGGGAAGCGAGAGGCAGGGGGGCGTTCAACACGCGCGCGCTCGTGTGAACGGGGGTCTGAGGCTGGCGGCGAGAGCCTCGCGCGGCCGCTCCGCCCACCCTCAGGCCTTTTCATCCCCGCCGCCATTTTGCAGCTGGACGGAGTTGGCCGTGTGGCGTGAGCAGGAGAGCCTCCGACAGGGACGGGCCTGCTCGAGCGAAGACCCCGCGGCCTCAGTCTGCCCTGAGCCCAGGAGGCAGGTGGGCGGGCGGGCGGGCGGGCGGGCGAGGGAGGGAGCGGCGGGGTCCGCAGAGGTGGATGCGCCGGTCAGGTCCTCCTCCTCCATCCATCCATCTATCCATCCTCCTCCCCGCGTGGCTCCTCCTTCGCCTTCTCCCTTCTCCCGAAATTCACTGGGGGTCGCGGGTGGGTGGGGAGCGCCTTTGTGTGGGTGGGGTGGTGGGTGCTCTCCATCTTTTAGGGTGCGGGTGGGGGGAGGAGGAGGGTCCCCCTCGCGTGCCACGTTGTGCTGGCATTTTTATAGATCTATCTATCATAATATATTTATCTATCTTTAATAATATATAATATAAAGATATAGACAGCTTTGCTGTGTCTAACCAGGTGGCGGCAGCAAAAAAACCCAACTACTGCAATTATTATTATTTTTAATAGCAGGGGCAATTAGAATTAAGATCTATTAATTTGATTATTGATGGGACCCTCCAGAATGTATTTTTTGCCTGGGCAAGTTTTAACCTCTTGTCTTCAGTGCATTGGTGTTTTTTACTTTATCGCTACGGCTAGTGGCTGATGTCGATCAAGATTCTTTTGATCCTGCTGCGTGCGATGTGCGCGCAATATAATGTGTGTATATACGCGCACTCACGCACGTGTCTGGGGCGGGAAGAGCGCGAACACATTTATATCGATACCTCGGTGCTCTGTATTTTTAAGCACTCTTCATTAGCGCTGCTTCCGGGGCGTTTATTATTTGGCAGGAGTTTGTATTCGCTGCCGGTTTGTGGTCGGAGGTGCTTGGGCTGCTCCTTCTGTTTTGCGATGGCCTTTAGAGCCGCGGACAAATGAAATCGGGTCGCCGTCGCCTGTAGGTTTGTATACATATGCACACTTTTATAGAGATGGCGATATATGTGTGCGAGAGTGCACACTCAGATTTGTGCGTGTGTATCTGCGTGGATAATAGCTTGCATGTATACACTCGTATATGTTATGCTCCGTGTGTGTCTATATAATAATGATAATAATTATTATTTTTTTCCCGCCCATCCGACTGGGTTGCGCTGTGTATCTGCGTGTGTTTAAACACATTTAAGCTATCAGCCGTTCAGATCCATCACCAGAAACTTAACTTGAGCTTTGCATCAAACCTAACAGATCCTCCTCAGTCTAAAGCAGCAATATTTAGATATTTAATTGTAGTCGCTCTCTTTTTTTTGGGGGGGGGTGACTGAATGTTATAAACTGCCTTGAAGCATTGCATTTGGAGGCTGGGTTCAAAATAGATTTAGTTCAATGAAAGTGTGTATGTGGGGGTGTCAATGTAGAGGGAGTGGTTTTGTGCCCCTCCATCACACCAGGTGTTTTTATATGTGTGTGTGGAATGACATTTCCCTGCTTCTAAGGCAACCACCCTCTTTTTGATTATTTATGTGATTATTTAATTTCTATACCACTTAGTATATTAAATATATATCTAAGCAGTGTCCAGAAAACTGAAGCAAAAACCGACAACTTAAACAAAATATTACAAAAATGCAGAGTTGCATATAAAAACGTTACATTAGTACAAAGTTATTAATGTATACAAATCAATCACTTTCCACCTGATGGAGGTTGTTGTTAAATAAATACCTGTTATTTTGCAATTTACGTTGGGATGCTTGCATGCTCATAGACCCTAAATCTTTATCTGTTTAAAGCAACACTTAATAAGGGAAAAACAAACCTTGACGTGAGGAAGGGCAAGGTTTCTTTACAGCAGAGCAGAAAACGGGGAGTGAGTTGTTTGTCTCCAATCTTCACATCATGTGTTTGTGTGGAGGGGGGAATAAGAGTTTTCCATGTGATGAGAGAGACATCGACATATATACACATTCAGCGCATTTCCCCCAGGGCTGGGTATAAGGCCTCCTTAACTCCTCTGTTGTTGTTTTTTTATAAAAATAATAACGATGATTTGGGATGGGGGGGGCAATCTCCCCACCACCATAAGGCAAAAAATGTGATGCTGTCAATTTCTCCACCCCTCCCTCTTTCCATGCTGAACCCCGCCCCCCAGCTCTGTCGCAAAGGCAAATACAATTACTCTCGGTGTTTTCTTATGATATACACAAGTGTGTGACCTTACTGGATTTTAATGCACATACACAAACTCATGGAAGATAAGCTTTTGAGGGGTGTGGCAAGAAACAATTTAAACTGATGTTTCCTGAGTTTTTTAAAGTACGTAGAGGTTCCCCCAGTTTAGGCCACCAGAGTGAAAAAAGCTTTATTGATCACCTGGAAGACTAGGTGGGGTGAGTGTTTCTTAAGCACACACTCCTCCCATCCTCCATCTATAAGGGAGACCTAGGGGTGTGTGTCTTTTCCTCTGTATTCGCTAACCTCCATGCCTCTCCTTTCCTCCCCAACCTGCAACTAATTGGGTAGATCTTTATTCAGTATTCACCCCTGTCCTTTAGCAAGGCTACAGAAAGCAGGAGTGAACTTCTTGTTGCTCATTTTGAGTGGTGCTGGAATGAATGCACGATGTTGATCCCCTGGGCTGATGTGTTTGGTTCATCTCCATTATACTCATCCTTTCAGCCGCACGGTAACAATGGCGGAGGCCCTAATGCGCAGAAGCTCTAACTGGGAAGCTTTATCCTTTGGGAATTGTGGTGTGTGTGTGTGTGTGTGCGTCTCCCCGCTCCCTGCTGCCCATCTCCCTTCAACTGCTGAATGCCTTTGTGGTCCAGAACCTATCAGGACCCCAAAAGCTCTTAATGGATAGGATTTAGTCCAGCAGTTTGCTCTGTGCGCTAAGGGTGTGGTATGTAACTAGCCAAAGCATCATAACAGTAAGAATTGGCTTTCTGTGGTGCTGCTTGCTCTTATGGGCTTGTGAAGCAGAGTGCAAATTATTCCCACTGGTCTAGATTGTGTGCGGTAATTCAGAACCAAGTCCCAAGAGAGACACTGTGTAAAATGCACCCCATAGCCTTTCTCTGTTTTCCCTGTTATAGTTGTTGGTAAAGCTGTGTGGTGCTTGTTTTGCTTCCCTTAGGTAGAACACAATGGATGCTCTCTGTCTGTTGCTTCTGAACCGTAATGTGGTCTTTATTTGTGCTATAATGAGCTAATGGATATTTATGGAGCGTATATGCACTCTGGTTTTGGTCTAGGTTCAGAAAAAGATTGACGCTTTGTGCAAATTTGTTCATAGAGTACTTGCTGAATTAGGGCTGCATTTCTGTGTCTTAGTTTCGGACAGTGTCCGAAACTCCCATTCTAGGCACATTTTGCGACAGGGAATTTCATTAGCGCAAGCAGTCTCTCTGAGCTTTGGGTGCAGTACTGCACTTATGATTTCAGATTAAAACTGCAGAGTGGAAGGAAAGGAGAACCTTTTCCTGCCTACCCACTTCCAGTTACTCTCTGAAGACTGGAGAAGAGACCCTCTTAAGAATATTAGGAGGGTGAGCAGGGGAAGGACTAGACCTTGCGAAAAGTGAACATAATGTTTTAGCTGCAGTTCATTCATTCATTTTCAGCTTTGTATTCTTGTTTTTAAAAAAATCGCACCTAGACATTCCGCTGTTGCACCCATAGCCTAGGTTCAAGGTGCCATTTAGCTCCTAGCTTTCATATGTCAGTTTCTAACACTGGTTTTGGAGTTTTCTCGTTCTGAGCAGGCAAAGTTCCATGCCTGGCATCAGTAGAATTTCCCCACATGTGGTGCTTTAGAATGTTAATGATGCCTAAAATTCAATCCTTACAATGGATAAGAGTTCCTTGGGCGTGTCATTGGTTTGTAGTGAATGAGGTTGTTTGAAGTCCTTCTGCTGTACACTGGGTTTGAGTCCCAACCCACAGGTCACCAAGCATGTTAGGCCTGTGGGCACATTTGGAACTTTTAGTTAGTATGGCCTCTCTGCCCCCTGGATCAGTGCTTCCCACTGCCCCATGCACACACACACACACACACACACACACACACACAGAACGCCAAGACCTCACTTTCCCAAGGTACCGTATCTGGAAAAGAGTGGCAATGCTAGCTGGGGCTGATGGCAGTTGTAGGCTAATACATCTGGGGTGCACCAGGTTGGTGGATTCTGCGTTAGTGAATGATCACAAGAGAAAACTTTTGCTTGTTTGGATTGTGGTTTTCCTGTCTTCGCTGTGCTGAATTTTCTGCCCGCCTTCTATTTTGAAAAGGCAGCCTCTGCTTTTGACGGTGCGTGCTTGATCGTGTTGTTAGTTAATTCAATGTCTTTTAAACAATAATTTGTAACATTTCTTCCTTCAAAAAGAGCTTCTCTGAAATGGGCATGGTTTATATTAATGAGAATGTGTTGTGATGGTAGAGGCTCTGCTACAAGTGAGATTTGCCACCCTCCTTTCGGCTATGAAATTCCACTATGTCTGGACGAATAGAATGTGGTCTGTTTGCAGAGACTGGGAGAAGATTTTTTAATAACGGTGTTGCCCAGTATTAGTCACAACTATGACTAACAGTATTTTTATAGATGCCACCCTCCAAAAACAGAAGAAAGCACCATTCTTGACTGTAGTCTATATGTACCACGTTGCTCTTTCTCTTTGATTGTGTGACACATTTTTGAAAGATAGCTGATAGTAGATAGAAAGAAACTTTCTTTTTCTTAGCTATATATCTGCATTGGAGCTTGGATGAAGGGACAAGTGTTTATTTTTTAATAGGCAAATGTCAATGATTTGGCACTTTTTCTGGTTAATAATCAAATCATTGCATATTGTTTAATACCAATGACTGAAGTCCTATTTCTCGGTTTCATTAGAGTCCCAAACGTATAGTTTTCAAAAGGTGCAGCAAAGGGTGTTTGTTCTTATTTTTGCAGAATAAAGACCACTGGGATAATCTTTACCATCTGCTCTTACTTCCCGTATCTCTTAATGGTTATATTCTCTCCTCTGTTTCCACAGGTAAATTTTTTGAAAGGATGCTAGTGGCATTGTCCTCAGGAGGAGAGTAAAGTGCAAGAGAGCTTCAGCTCTGTGTGCCAACTTCGCACAGCTCTCAGCCGCAACCTTTATTTGTAAGTGCTTTCTCTAAGAACATTAATCAGACCTGGGCACTGGCTTATATTAGCAAAACTGTCAGAGGTGGTTGGTATCAAGAGTTACCCTGAACCAACAACCTTTTGTTTAAGATGGATAAGGTATCAGGGCTGGAACTGGGAGCAAGCTCTGTTTTTTGTTTAATGCAGGGGTGAGGTAATCCTTCTTTGCTAAAGGGCCATACTTATTTGTGGGGGGGACCTTCTGGGAGCCACATGGGCAGGGCCAGAAGCAAAAGTGATCTGAGCCATGGATGCAACTCTTACCTTTATAGGGTAGGCGGTGGAATAAATCACTGAGCCTCTTGGGCTTGCCAATCGGAAGGTTGGCGGTTCAAATCCCTGCTATGGAGTGAGCTCCTGCTGCTCTGTCCCAGCTCCTGCCAACCTAGCAGTTTGAAAGCACACCAGTGCAAGTAGATAAATAGGTACCACTGCGTCGGGAAGGTAAACAGCATTTCCATGCGCTCTGATTTCCGTCACAGTGCTCCGTTGCGCCAGAAGCGGTTTAGTCATCCTGGCCACATGACCCGGAAAGCTGTCTGTGGACAAACGCCGGCTCCCTCGGCCTGAAAAGCTAGATGAGTGTCGCAACCCCATAGTTGCCTTTGACTGGACTTAACTGTCCAGGGGTCATTTGCTTTAAAAAAACAACAACAAAAAACTTTTATTCCAGTTATGCAATAATTGGAACATTCTATACACACCATCATGCATCCAGGTATGAAAGAGGCAATATTCAATACTCATTGTTCAAGGGCACATTCCACCCAGGCAAAAAAATGAGGGCTGAGAGCAAAACTAGGGAGGGGTGTGGTTGGGGAAGGGCGATATTATTGTTGTTGTTGTTGTTGTTGTTATATTTTATTTATATTATTATATTATATTATATTATATTATATTATATTATATTATATTATATTATATTATATTATATTATATTATATTATATTATATTATATTATATTATATTATATTATATTATATTATGGTAAAGGTAAAGGTACCCCTGCCCGTACGGGCCAGTCTTGACAGACTCTAGGGTTGTGCGCCCATCTCACTCAATTGGCCGGGGGCCAGCGCTGTCCAGAGACACTTCCGGGTCACGTGGCCAGCGTGACAAAGCTGCATCTGGCGATCCAGCGCAGCACACGGAACTCCGTTTACCTTCCCGCCAGTAAGCGGTCCCTATTTATCTACTTGCACCCGGGGGTGCTTTCGAACTGCTAGGTTGGCAGGCACTGGGACCGAGCAACGGGAGCTCACCCCGCCGTGGGGATTCGAACCGCCGACCTTTCGATCGGCAAGCCCTAGGCGCTGAGGCTTTTACCCACAGCGCCACCCGCGTCCCTATTATATTATATTATATTATATTTCATTTCATTTCTACCCTGCCCATCTGGTTGGGTTTCCCCAGCCACTCTCGGCAGCTTACAGCTTATATAAAACATAGTAAAATATCAAATATTAAAAAACTTCCCAATACAGGGCTGCCTTCAGATGTCTTGTAAATGAAGAAACCTGGAGAGTCACATTTGCCTCCCCACATTTGCCTCTCCCCGACCAAGGCATCTCAGTCATACATACATGTCTTCACTACTATAAGTCCCTGTGTTCTCGCGTGAAATTGAATTCTCACTTCTGCACACCGTTTTTATTGTACGTTCATAAATCGCCATGAGATAAATGTGAAAGTTGATTCGTAAATAATATATAATCGTTGCAAATGAGTCAGGAAGAAAAGTCCAGCCTGCTATTTTACTTTTAACAGCATCTTGATGTCCAGAAACCAGAAGACAAAACTTTTGTCACGGTGTGGATATGGGTGTTACCACCTATTCACGCCAAGTTGCAGTTGTAAGTACAACTGCAGTTTCGGGTTGATAAACTGGCAACCCTAGTGGTAGTCTGATCATTGCTGAATGGGGCGAGATGTCTTAAGTTCCTTCAGATTGGTACTTGAAGGGTTAAACAGCATAGGCAGAGCATACAAGGGTGGCAGAAAATATTGAAAGTTGGGTCTTCATGCTCCACGTTGCCTATTTAGATCTAATGTGCTTTTGATCTTTGCAGTATTTTAAAAGTGGGAAGACAAAGGAGGATTTGATGTTTTGTGTGGCGCCCAATGGTACAGGATCCGTCATGAATATAACGAAGGGTGGGCTGGTGCTATTTTCAGCCAATTCCAACCCATCGTGCATGGAACTATCAAAGAAAATTGCCGAGTAAGTAACAGCCGCTGTATTTTTCTTCCTAAGCACTCTGTGCTGCCTCTGTTTCAATGTGGGGTGTTGGGTCTGGCTGGTATGAGCGTAATGTACGACTCTCAGCAAGATTATATTGTCAAGTTACTTAGTAATGTCTCACTGCTGTTTTTGCCAAGAGAAAGTTACATTTAAAGGTGCAGGGTTAGTATAATGCAGGCTTTGTTCTAACATGATAAACCCACGTATTAATGTCTGCTGGTCTTAAAGCATTACCTAATATATTTATATATCTGGCTTTCCTAGCCGGAAAGTTTAAGATAAAGGTGGTCTGAGGATTATCACTGGGTCCTGGTGCACCTCTTAGGTAGCCCCGGCAATCCCTCACACCAAAAGCAAGTTCGAGGTTTATGATGCTTCTGTTATGTGCTGAAGAGGCCAACCATTTTTTGGTGTAGATTTCAAAGTTTGAACTGAAGATTAGCTTGCCTCTTCAGCAGTAGTTCAGTGGAAACTCAGAATAATGGAACCAAGTGAGTGGATTCAAGTTCAAGAACTGAAGCAGCCGAACAAGACCTTTCTTAATAGTTGTACCACATTCCTGATTCCAGGAATGACAACATGGTGGCCTATGAAGAACAGGCAAATTTTAAGAGTGAATGCTATGAGAGCAGTTTTATAAGGCTTGGAGACTAAGGATACATTGGTCCTTCTGCCCTTCCCCTTCTCCCACCCCCAGTTCTTGCCCATCCTGTTATTTAAGCTTGTGTTCTCTCAAGAGAGCCACTCATCTTAGCGTTTCTTACAGCCAGAAGGTCTCTTGACAGTTAGGTCATGCTGTGCACACTGGCTGTTTTTCAGATTCATTTTGCAGAACGATGCTTTGAGAACACTTATTTCGGGCCAAGCCTGTTCAGCCAATGCTTAGCCTCCGCAAGCACCTAATGTACATTGAGCTGAGCCAATGATAGTCAGAGTGTGACTTGTGTGATTTTGTTTCCTCCTGCCCTTGACAGTTGCTTGCCCAGACCAGAAAGGGAGCCACTTACTGAGTAATGTGGATGCTTAGAAACGGAGACGGTCTGTTGATAGCTAGAAGAAACCCATCAGGTTATGTTGCAGGAAAGGTTCTAGTTTTGGTTTGGCACTGAATGAGAGAAGTAGCAGAAGAAGTTTATGGGGGAAATTTGCCCAGGAAGGAGTAATGGCAAAGTGAGCTGTGTGCTATTTTCCTCAATGACAATACATAAGATTAACAGCAAGTTGGGATTCTATTACTGCTTCTTAAATTGCAAAAAGACCCACAGGTATGGCACCTGTGGTCTACAAACCTGAGCAGCAGCTCATTCCTGTAAAGCGTGACATCTGCATGGCAATTGTTCCTGCAGTTGGAGAAATGGCAATTGTTTCTCAAAAGTGCATTTGTAGGCAGATCCTTCTGGATGTAACAAGTGAGCAGAATCTGTGCTGTGGCAGGAGTTGGCAGAAGCTACCTTTTGACATTGGGGACATTGAGTCAAGTCTTAGCAATAACCTGCTTAGAGAGTTCAGTGATCCAGGGTTTGTGCTGCAGGCAGGCTGCTGTTAGGACTATAAACAATTAGGGCAAGAGGGCTTCCCAAACTCTCCAAACCCCCCATGGACCACTTAAAAAATGGCAAAGGGTCTTGGCAGGCCACTTAATGATTATTGTTATTTTGCCTGTTATAGCAATTGTAATGTGCTGTGTTAGATGCTGTATGACTTTAAATTCTTTTTGTTGTTTCTTTTATCTCCTATATTTATTGTATTGCCGTTTGCATTCCTTAGAATTCAAGTTGAAATACAACATAAGAAATAGAAGCAGTACGAATACAGTTATAAATCAGTGTGGGTATTTAGTACAGACCCACCACAGACCATTTGAATGAAGCTTTTGGACCACTGGTGTTCTGCGGACCATTGTTTGGGACTAGAGTACAAAAAACTGTTAAGTGATTTCAGCCTTCACCAATTTGGTGCTTTCCATATTGAACTGCAACTTCCATCATCCACACTGGCTGGAACTGATGGGAGTTGTAGTCAAAAACCTCTGGAGGGCGCAAGAAGAAGAAAGGCTGCCCTCCCTGTTGAAAATGTTGTTTTCAATCCCAATTCTAATCCATCCTTGCTTCAGTGAGCTTTGTCTTGTCTACCTTTCCAGGCGCCTGGGGGTGGAGATGGGTAAAGTCCAGGTTTACCAGGAGCCGAACCGAGGTGAGCATCTTCCACTCAAAGCCCTTACTTAAAGCGTTCATCGCTGGGAGCTAAAGGAAAAGGATCTAGTTTATTAAGCACCTCCCATAGCAACCTCTTTCCTCTCCCTTCCCCCTGCCTCTTTTTCCCTGGAGAGTTTGTCCCTTTAGGTGATCCATGTGTCAGCTCTTGCCGTTTCCTTAACTAAACAAGTGTAAGAGGCCACTTCCTGGTTTTCCTTCCACAGCATCTTCCTGTTGTTAGCCTGTCCTTGCAGTTCTGTGACAGGCATGCAGTGTTGGGCTTTCCTGTCACTTCCCTGCATTGCACGACAGGGTAAGGAAGAAGAGCAGCTGCATTTGGCACAGCCCAGCCTGTACATTATACACCAAAGAAAATCCCCTGTGTTGCAAAACTGAACACTCTGAACAACAGCAGGCACCACACCGGCTAATAATATACTGACAATATTTTTATAACACTACAGTGGTACCCCGCAAGACGAACGCCTCGCGAGACGAAAAACTCGCAAAACGAAAGGTTTTTTCGTTTTCGAGTTGCCTCGCAAGACGAATTTCCCTATGGGCTTGCTTCGCAAAACGAAGCTTGCCCCGGGGACAGCGGGTCTTCTCTTTTGAAGCAAGGGGCGGCGGGGAGATCGCTTCTCCCCACCGCCCCTTGCTTCAAAAGAGGTCTGCCCCCGGACCTCTTTTGAAGCAAGGGGCTGCGGGGAGATCGCTTCTCCCGGTGCTCCGAAGCGGGGTGGGGGGGGCGGGAACACCTGCCCCAGCCGCCGGGCTTCGTAGCGCTGCTGCGAAGCCGGGCGGGGGGCGGGAACACCTGCCCCAGCCACCCCGCTTCGGAACGCTGCTCCGAAGCGGGGTGGGGGGGGCGGGAACACCTGCCCCAGCCGCCGGGCTTCGTAGCGCTGCTGCGAAGCCGGGCGGGGGGCGGGAACACCTGCCCCAGCCGCCGGGCTTTTTAGCGCTGCTGCGAAGCTGGGCGGGGGGCGGGAACACCTGCCCCAGCCACCCCGCTTTGGAACGCTGCTCCGAAGTGGGGGGGGGGGCGGGAACACTTGCCCCAGCCACGGGCTTCGTAGTGCTGCTGCGAAGCCAGGCGGGGGGCGGGAACACCTGCCCCAGCCACCCCGCTTCGGAACGCTGCTCCGAAGCGGGGTGGGGGGCGGGAACACTTGCACCAGCCACCGGGCTTCGTAGCGCTGCTGCGAAGCCGGGCGGGGGCGGGAACACCTGCCCCAGCCACCCCGCTTCGGAACGCTGCTCCGAAGCAGGGTGGGGGGGCGGGAACACTTGCCCCAGCCACCGGGCTTCATAGCGCTGCTGCGAAGCCGGGCGGGGGGCGGGAACACCTGCCCCAGCCACCCCGCTTCGGAACGCTGCTCCGAAGCGGGGTGGGGGGGGCGGGAACACTTGCACCAGCCACCGGGCTTCGTAGCGCTGCTGCGAAGCCGGGCGGGGGGGCGGGAACACCTGCCCCAGCCACCCCGCTTCGGAACGCTGCTCCGAAGCGGGGTGGGGGTGGGGCGGGAACACTTGCCCCAGCCACCGGGCTTCATAGCGCTGCTGCGAAGCCGGGTGGGGGCGGGAACACCTGCCCCAGCCGCCGGGCTTCGTAGCGCTGCTGCGAAGCCGGGCGGGGGGGGCGGGAACACCTTCTGAAGGCGGGCGGGGGGCGAAAGTCTTTGTCCCCCCTGCCTGCCTTCCCAGGGGCTTTTAAATCGCCCCGGACAGCGGAGAAGTCCTCCGCTGTCCCGGGGCGATTTTAAAATGCCGCCCGCCAGCATTTTAAGATCGCCCGGACAGCGGAGAAGTCCTCCGCTGTCCCAGGGTTTTTTAAAATGCTGGGGGTGGGAAGAAAAGCCCTTGTCCCCCCCCCCAGCCTTCAGAAGAGGTCCGGGGACAGTCTGTCCCCGGACCTGGTCTGAAGGCGGTTTCCCTAGGAACGCATTAATTGATTTTCAATGCATTCCTATGGGAAACCGTGCATCGCAAGACGAAAAAACCGCAAGACGAAGAGACTTGCGGAACGAATTAATTTCGTCTTGCGAGGCACCACTGTATACTGTTTCAAAATTCATAAACAGAAGACATATAATATGTGCATGGAGTCACAAACTAATAAGAATCAATTAAATGTTCCATGAACAGGAATGGTAGAGGAGTGGTAAGTCACTGTCAAAGATCACTGAAATGGAGGCAGAATGCCTTTCCACAGTCAATATCCTACAAACGTGAGATGATGGGTGCTCTGAACGTCGCAATAGGCTTACTACACTTTTTAGTGATAGCTGATCCATGGCCATTTGATGTACCTTTGGGGACTATTAATTTGCTGATGAACGGTACTGTCTGCTGCTGTGCTTGGAGCACCCTGGAAGATCTTTGCTGAAGAGTAGATGTCAGGAGTGCATGCAAGAGCCAGGCCCTGTGACCAGTAGGACTTTGCAGGACAGGGGCCTTCCTAAGTTTGTTCTGAAGAGGCAAGGCGCGGCCACACGGGTGAAGCTACTTGGTAACTCACTGCACCTGGTGGCAAGAGCCGGGAAGGAATATAAGGTCAGCGTTTCCCTTCGGCTTTTTGCCACAGCAACACATTCCCTGCCTTGCTGTGTTTGGCTCCTTGACTCCTTTCTTCTTGATCCTCGGACCCTTGACTTTGTGACTCCTTGCTTCTTAATCCTCGGACCCTTGGCTTCTTGACTGCTGATTCTCTGACCCTCGGACTCTTGGCTTCCTGGCTTCTGGACTCTTGTTCCTACTCCCACCCCATCATCTTGTCCCCGGTCCCGACGTCCCCAGCCGGGACTTTGATTGCCTGCGAACCGGACCATGACAGTAGAGGCCTTAACCTGTGACCATACAGGTGTTGGCCTCTGTTATGGGCTTTCAGAGGTTCTCTAGGATCCTGCATCATAATCTAGTATTATTATTATTATTATTCATTATTATTGTTCGTCATGTTTTCTACCAAGGTAGCTAAAGGCAACTTACAATAGATAACCAAGTATGTACATTGAGACCAGCATAACAGAAAAAGAAAAACCTAAAAGAGAATCATGTTTCTGTAAGACAGGATTAAAATGTCACACCCACTGAAGGAGTTCACAGACCCAAAGGCCTGGTGGAAAAGAAATGTTTTTGCCTGGCATCTATGTAATGACTGTGTCAGGCAAGTCTCCCCAGGAATAGCATTCCACAAGTGGGGGAACCACCACCAAAGAGGTTTGTTCTCGTGTCACTGCCCTCTGGACCTCCCGAGGAAGGGGCACACAAAGAAGGACTTCAGATGGTGATGTGAGTCGGGGAGTGGCAAACCTTATTTGCTCTTTGAATGTTTCTCATGGCACTGTGACCAAATAATGTTGGCCTCTGGTGGTTTGCTACTGGACAACCACCTTTAGACCTAAAAAAAGAGCAACTTGTTATACAGCTTTCTTGAAGAGCTGACGAGCGCACCCTAGAAAATTTAATGGAGGATAAGGCTATTTATTTACCTCCAGCTGAAATCCAGCAGGGCTCTTCTATGACCACCGGGAGGGGTGCTGCCGTAAATCTTTCTCACCCCAGCTGTAATGTTTCTGAGTATTTGTCATGTGGATTGGAACTGTTTCCACGTTCCTTTTCCAAGTGATTGTGGTAACTTTTAAGGCACCGGTTTACATGGCCAGGAGACCTGCAGCATTCCTTACTAGCCCTAGGAAGTTGCATTGCACCAGGTCACACTGTTTGCCCAGTATTGCTTTGCTCTGATCGGCAGCACCTCTCCAAGGTCTCTGGCAGAGCCCTTTCACTTGCTGCCTGATCCATTTAACTGGAGAGGGCAATAACTTTAAATGGGACCTTTGCATGTGGAGCATGTGCTCTGCCACAGCTACAGTCCTGCTCCTGCTGCAAGTGAAGGGGAAACAACAATGTTAATATTTTCCTTTGAGATGGGTTTTCAATATGGTCTCACCTGATGATTGGAGCTTAACGCTGATGTACTTTGCAAGCATGTGTCGACACCAAGTGCATGTTTTCTTTTGGCAGAAACGCGGGTACAGATTCAGGAGTCTGTGAGAGGAAAAGATGTCTTCATCATCCAGACTGTCTCAAAGTGAGTACAAATGTCTGCTCAGAATTAAACCCCAGACATTTCCGAATTTGGTTTTGATTGAACTGTATCTATGTAATGCGGGTGGCGGGTAGAGCTTATTAACTTTGTCTCTGTTCCTTTTAAACCCTCCTTATTAGATGTCTGTGGTCTTCTGCCATTTGCTGTCCATTATCTTCCCTTTAAGAATTTTTCAACCAGCGTCAATTTTAAAGCAAATGTCTCTAACACCCTAAATGATTTGGCAGAGTTTCCCTGAAAAGTCTGGCCTATATGCTTCCCTCTGCTTTTTTCTTTTTAACCATGGTATATAAAAAAGGGATGCTCTAAATCCATTCTCTTAAAAACCCACTTTCCATCTTGCATAAGATGATACAGGCAAAACATTCAGGTATCCAAAGCTCATTGAAGAAGCTGTGATCAAGGGTAGCTGTACCAGAGTTAGACAACGACGGGAACTATTTTAAGCACCTGTAACTAGGTTATGGAGGAGTTGTTGTTCCTGCACTCTAATTTTATCTTGCTTTCTTATGCTGTTACTAACTGGTACCTGTCAATTTGAGAGACACTCCCCACTGCACCCTCTTTGATTCCCCAGGTCATCTTCTTTTGGGGGAGAGGGAAGGAGCATGCTGTTTGCCAGGTCACTATGTTGCCTTCCTGTAATCAGTGTTTGCCCCACTGCAAAGACGGCTAGGTGGCAATGCCAGGCCACCTCTGGTCCAAAGGAAGTATAGTTTATTGACATGATGCTCTGTAACGGGTGGGGAACCTTTTTTCAGCTGAGGGCCATATTACCTCCTTCTGGTCTGCCTTCCAGGGCCATGCCAGTGGTGGGTGGGCTCAGAGGCAAAAGTGGACAGAGCCTTGAGTCTGAATCTTACCTTATGCAGCAGGCACAATCTCACGCTCCTCTCGAATATCATCCATATGGCAAGGCAAGCAAGAGTCGCCATCATAGTTCCAGCCAGGCAAAAACGCTTGAGAGAAACCAGTGAGAGGTGTGGCCTAAGGAAAGTGCCAAGGTCCAGATAGAGAGACTTGGAGGGCCCCTCCCAGGGGTGGAGGTTTCTACCCCCGCTCTCTAACCATGGCCTTTCTTTCCTCCCCAGAGAAAGGGCTCAGGGATGTGGAGCCTCTACCATTCCTCTCTTTTTTTTTGGGTAACGAATGCTGCACACGCAGTTGAAATCCATGGAAGCAGAGGTCCACAAATCTTAGCTGGCCTCACCCCAGAAAATTTGATCTTTCCAGAGGGAGGGGGCAGAGTCTTCCTGAGCGCAGGACCCAATACAGCTGGGGTATGTCTTTGAGTGATCCCATACTTCTCCACAGCTGGGGAGGCAAATGAGAGCCTGCCCCAGATGCTAAGCCTCAGGGAGTGGCATTCCAAGTGCATGTGAGGTTCAAGAAGGAGCCTTAGGGAGAGATGTGACCAGTAGTGAGCTGGCAAACACAATAGCTCAGCTGGTAACCTCAGGGTCCTGGGTTTGAGCCTCATCTTGGGCAAAAAGATTCCTGCATTGCAGGGGGTTGGACTAGATGACACTTGTGGTCCCTTCCAACTCTTACCATTCTTTGATTCTGTCTGAAACGCCCTTGCGGACCAATGATAAGAAGGAGGAATAGTTAATCTTCCCGAAAACAGGTGTGGCGGCAATGATTTCAGAGTGTACATCAAGGTCGAAAGCCCTGCATAATGTCCTGTTGCTCTACCTGCCCTCTCCGGCGGACAAAGGACTCTATTGCGTCAGCATGCAATATAGGGCTTGTTGTCGAGTGAAGTCCCGATACAGAACCAGCGCCCTTCTCATTGCAGGGATGTGAATACGACCATCATGGAGCTCCTCATCATGGTGTATGCCTGTAAAACGTCCTGTGCCAAAAGCATTATTGGCGTGGTTCCCTACTTCCCATACAGCAAGCAGTGCAAGATGAGGAAAAGGGGCTCCATTGTCTCTAAGCTTCTGGCTTCGATGATGTGCAAGGCGGGTAAGGACAGAGAGCAGCGGGCGAGGCCATGGCGGGAGACGCCCACCCCACCCTGGCCGCTCTAAGTATGTCTTCAGGCACTGCTGTAGACTATAGGCCTTGGCTCTCCTCTAAAGTTCCTTTCATGAGACAGTGGTCACTTGCAAAGGGAGGCAGCGCCTTGCTGAAGCTCAGTGGTTAGAGCACATCCTTTGCATGCAAATCGTCCCAGATTTAGGGGTGTATCCATTGCTATTCCTTGAAGTAGCCCCACAGGAAATGACGCAGCTCAGGCCCAGTGGGTCTACTCTGAGCCGGATTTTGTTGGAAACAACTCGTAGCCCCTGGCATCTCCAGGTGCTGCTGGGAAACAGCGCCACCTGAGATTTGGAGAGCCGCTGCCAGTCTGTGTAGACCAGGGTTTCCCAAACTTGGGTCTCCAACTGGTTTTGGCCAACAACTCCCATCACGTCTAGCTAGTAGGACCTGTGGGTCAGGGGTGATGGGAAATGTAGTGGGGGGGGGAGCTGGAGACCCAAGTTTGGGAAACCCTGATGTAGATAATACTGAGCTAGATTGTCTGACTCTTTTATAAGGCAGCTTCCTTGGTCTGTGGGACAAAATTCTGTACTTGGACTGCTCTCCAGCCAGTCCCTTCTATTTCCTAAATTCTCTCCTGTTCACACATGCTGTCTCTTTTCTTGGGTTTTGGGGCAAATAAATCTCTTCTCGTATATTGAGAGACATGCCCAGTTTCATCTGAATCCACTTAGACTGGCAGTCCTGATTTGACTCTTGGTCAGTAGTGGGTTTTTGGCTGTTAGCTTTTGGGATTAATTTTCCTTGTTAAAACCTTACAGAGTTAGTTGGTGTTTCTGTAAGGAAATCCTCATAAAGTTCTAACAATTAAAACAACTGCATACTAATTAACGGGCCAAAATATAAAATCAATGAGAATTGCATTATATAAGGGTCATGCATAATAATTAAGAAATGCATCTTTGAACAAAGGAAATGTTACAATCCGTGAAACAAAACACACCTTAAATAGCCAGTCTAAAATATTATTATCATTATCTACTACCCTTCACCCAAAGAGCACAGTTCACAACATAAAAATACAAAATGAGAACACAAAATACGTAATAAAAACAATATCAAAATCAAGCCAATAGCCTCCCTCCCATCAAACGTACGTAAACAGACACAGAAAGTTAGTTATTATTATTATTTATTAAATATGGGGGTGGGGACAGCTAAGGACACAATTACAAAGGAAGAAATGGGAGTTTAAAGTGAGTTTCTGATAGTTCCTTGGGAACTCTCACTGGGATCAGCTGCACTCAGGATCTCCCCATTGGGAGCTGCCGTATTGCCGTCTAGAGAGGCCTGCTATAAAATCAGCTGATTGACGCTGTCACCAAGCCCAGCTTTGCTGCTGTGCAGATGCAGTTTGAATCCAAACTACACCTGCCAATTGGCACCTCTTTCCCTTTGCAGATGCTGCAAGCAACTTAAAGATGCCCTGCTCTGCCCGCACTTTGCTGTTTTGGCAGGCGCTGCTGTCGCTGCCATAGCGCAGCACGGCTTGGCCTGCTTCCTCCTCTGGAGACTCAGTGCCCTTGGGGGGGGGGTGAGTGGAAAGAATCTGAGCCACCTGTGGAGCTGGCCTGACTCTGTATGAAGCAAAACCGCCCTGAGCTGTTGGCATCCAGTGGTTCCGTCCCTACACCCCTTACTGCTGTGAAGGGCTAGTGGGGGGACACGACTGCTGTGTGTGGGGCCACAACATTCTGCAACTGGCCAGGCCCTGTGGATGTAGATCTCCACTCCCCACCAAGCCACAAAGCTTAGCCTGGACTAGGAATGTCCATTCCGGGGCCCTAACCTGGCCCGCTAGTTGATTTAATCTGGCCCCTGTGGCAGTATATGTCCTGGGGTAAAATCCTTTAAAAAGCTCAAAAGCCGAACAACTTTGGTGTAAACTTAAATCCTAAAAAAAAAAAAAAAGCTCAAGAACTTTGGGGTAAAATTGTCAAAAAAGCTCAACAACTTCAATCCTAAAAAATGCTCAACAACCTTGGTCGGCCCTCAAGCATGTTCAGACCATCCAATCTGGCCCTCTTTGAAAAGTTTGGGCACCCCTGTCGGGCTAACCTACTGCGCAGGGTGGTTGTTAGAATAAAATTTGGGAGTGACAATCCTTTTGAGGAACGATGGGATATAAGAGCACAAATGAGACAGAATTTTCTTTGGCAGGCATTTTATTGTATTTTTTATTGAATTTATATCCTGCCTTCCCTACTGAAAGTGCAAAGTCTCACACTTACTATGGGATGTAAGGGATAAGCATTTCCTAAGTAAAAGCTTCTTTGGGAACCAGCTTTTAACAGCTGCCACTCATCGAATGCGGGTTTCTTGCTCTTTGTTGGTGAAGTGACCTTAAAGCACTGCTCCCCTTGGTCTGCTCCCAAGGTCTGACTCACCTCATCACCATGGATTTGCATCAAAAGGAAATCCAGGGCTTCTTCAATGTCCCGGTTGACAACCTGAGAGCATCTCCATTTTTGCTACAGTACATTCAAGAAGAGGTGAGCGAAGTCGTGTCATTTCATTCCAAGCCAGGCGGATTGGGTGCTGAAAAACAGGCCAGTCCATCCAATCCTAAGCTAGGCTGGCAAGATGAGCAATGCCTTGTTCTTGATGTCACCGCAGTCCAGATGAGGACCAAAAATGAGGGTTTGGGGTGTGTGTGAGCAGTTAAGAACATGAGCTTACAACTAACAGTCCATTGTCATTGGAATTATACCACATAGGACTTGTAATATTCTGCTGCTGACTCTTACAGAAATGTTCCTAAGCCCTGTCCTCTCTGGGCAGGGCAAACTCTCTGAAGGGGAAAGGTTTGTTGGGGGAAAGGGGGAAGCAGTGTTTTTGCTTCTGTATTGGGGATTAAAAAAATTAACAACAACACAAGAATCAGACCAGACCAAAGGCACACACAGCCCATTTCATGTGTTTGTGTTTGTTTGTTTTTTCAGATTCCAGACTACAGAAATGCTGTGATCGTGGCCAAATCTCCGGCGTCTGCAAAGAGGTGGGTGGGTACTCCAAAACCATGTTCCTGTGTAGCACCAACTTATCTTCTTTTAACACCTGAAGTTTGAGTCTAGATAGGGGTCGATATCATAATAATTTGCAAGGCCGGGCAGCGGGTCTTGGCTCCGAACCAAGTTGTGTGCATTTCTGCTTATTAAACTAATGCTGGAGCCACCAGCTGTTCTGGACCAGTGGGCACTTTTCCAATTTTGAGAGAGTGTCAGTCACAAAATAGCTGCCATATTTGCTGGGTCTGGGGGTGGGGAGTCCTTTAGTGAAACTGAACGGTGGGCGATTATCAGGACTGCAAAGTATATACACAAAGTATCAAATGTGGTGACATAATAATAATCATACAACAAAACAACAACACCACAAACTGGCTTATAAGTATAAAACCAAATTCACTAGAATAATAGCTAGAATAGAGATAGACTGTTAACCATTCAAACAACATACATACTAAGGTGCCATGTGCAAAACAAAGCCTGGAGATACTGTATAAACATGGAGTGGATAATTATACAACTCCATCTTAACAAGTTACATGTGCAGTAAACGTTATACAGACTGGATAAATGAACCGTTCAACAAGTAGCGTAAGTCCACTCACAGATCGGCAACCCCGTGCCGCCACAACGGCAAGGGTAGCACACTGGAGAATATGAAAAAGTTTTTCAAAGCTGTTTTTCAAAGATCGCACTGGATGAGATGTTCTTCAATGGGTCTCGAGATGGAAACACAAAGCCGTATGCATGGATCAATCATGGGAAGGCAAATCAAAGCCACCACCCTGGTGAGAATAACGCAAGTGAGCAAAAGGAGACCTGTTCTCCAGATATATTACAGGTTTCGCTACACGCTTCATCAGTCCGAAAAGCCAGTCATACAAAACGGTTTGCTCAGGAAGCATTTCACAGAGCACATCCTTAAACCAATGGAGCTAACCGCAAGGTGTGGTGACTCCCACCGGCTTAGGTGTCTTTGAGAGGGGATGGGATAAATTCATGGATGGTGAGGTTGTCCACAGCTACTAGTCAGGGTGGTTAGATGCCACCTCCAGGTTCTAGGCGCCATGCCTCTTAAGTTACCAGTTGTTGGAGAATTGGCTTCAGGAGAGAGCTGTTGTCCTCAGGTCCCCATTTGTGATCTTCCCAGAGGCGCCCAGTTGGCCACTGCAGGGAATGGGGGTTCTGGACTAGATACATGAGGTGACTTGTGATCTGTGTTTACAACAAACAACCATAATAAGAGCCTGCTTTGTCAAGCCTATTGCCCATCTAGCATCCTCTTCTCACAGTGGCCAAAGCTGCCGTTGTGGGAAGCCCACAAGCAGGGTGGATAAAAATCAATGTTTTTTTATTTTAAAATAAAAAAAAAATCGTCCTAAAGGAAAAATCGTCCTAAAGATTTTCTATTAGTCCAAAGGCTAGTCATCAGTAAATAAGGATTTGATTTAAGTTTTTTCCAGTGTGCTAAAACTCAGTCTAAGTTTTTTTTAATAAAAAATATGTTTAACCACATCAGTTAACAAACATAGATACATATGCTATAATATTGTTTTAGTCAAATATTTATTTTTAATTGTTATTAAGGAAATGATTGTTTTTCTCCTAATAAAGTACAGCAGAAAAGTTATCCAAATACAGTTAACTTATTAAACCTTGCAATAATTACATAATGATCTGTCTATGTATTTCTAATAGTATAACCAAATCATTAATTTTTGATGTAAATGTAAAAACTACACTGAAAATATATTACAGTATTCCAAAAACGAAACCTTCCTCTGGTTGTAAATATTAAGATTATACCAGCAAGAATGAGTCTTTCGGGGGGGGGGATGATTTAAATCAAGTCTTACTGACTAGTGATTTAAATTGATTTGCTTTAAATCAAATCCACCATTCCCACAAGCAAGACCTGAGGGCACCAGTGCTCTCCCCACTTGTGAGTCACAGCAGCTGGTATTCCCAGGCGTAGTACAGTGGTACCTCGGGTTACATACGCTTCAGGTTGCAGACTCCGCTAACCCAGAAATAGTGCTTCAGGTTAAGAACTCTGCTTCAGGATGAGAAGAGAAATCATGCTCTGGTGGCGCGGCAGCAGCAGGAGGCCCTATTAGCTAAAGTGGTGCTTCAGGTTAAGAACAGTTTCAGGTTAAGAACGGGTCTCCGGAACGAATTAAGTACTTAACCCGAGGTACCACTGTACCTCCGACAGTGGAGGCAGAGCTTGGCAGTTATGGCTCGTAGCCACTGATAGCCCTCTCCATGAATTCGCCCAGTTCTCTTTTAAAGGCACCTGGGTTGCTGGCCATCACTGCCCCCTGTGGGAGCAAGCGCCACAGTTTAACTATTTGCTGCGTGAAGAAGGTCTTTCTTTCGTCCGCCCTGAATCTTCCAACATCCATCTTCTTTGGATGCAAAGGCAGCAGTGGGGATCGATGAACCCTGCTGGCATTTATTTATTACTTGCACCTTAGGAACTAGATCAGTGGTTTCTCAAACTTGGGTCCCCAAGCTGTTGTCGGACTACAACTCCCACCATCCCTGACCACTGGTCCTGCTAGCTAGGGATGACGGGAGTTGCAGTCCAACACCAGGTTAGGAAATGCTGAACTAGATCAATTTGGCACCACCTTGCCCTGATCACCTGTCAGCTTAACACTCTTGGGAGAGGACTGCCTGCCTGCCTTCCCTCCTCTGCTTGTATGGCTGTTTCTCTGCCGTCCTTTGCGTTGGGGACGGACGTGTTTTCTAACGTCCTTGCCCCTTGTCCGCAGGGCTCAGTCGTTTGCAGAGCGCTTGAGACTGGGGATCGCCGTGATACACGGGGAGGCTCAAGATGCAGAGTCCGACCTGGTGGACGGCCGCCATTCGCCCCCGACGGCTAAAAGTGCAGCTGCCATTCACCCTAGTTTAGAGATACCCAGTAAGTAAACTCGCGTGAGAGGAGGGCCTACTGGTTGGGGTGGGTGTCCTTAAAAGGAGACGGGCATTCACAGTGGGCATCTCCCTCTCTTGTAAAGTCATATCCACACCATACAATGTAAGCACATGACTCGCCCCCCTCCCATGCAAAATAAAGAATCTTGGGAACTGTAGATCATCAAGGGTGCTGGGAGTTGTAAGCTACAGTTCCCAGCATTCCTTGGGGGAAGCCACATGCTTTGAATGCTGTGGATGTAGCCTGAGTTACAGGGTTTGGACATGTGTTTGCTGCAAGTTCTGGTGGAAAATCCCCTGCCCCTTCCCTGTTAATGCTCAAGACTTTGCATTTAAAGTCTTTCTCTTTCTGGTTATGGAAAACCTGGGCCTGTTTCATGCCCCTCTGTTGTTGTTGGATGGTACCGTGATATGAAGCGTTTGGCATCATCCTTGACCCATGCCAAACCCTGTTGTGTCTCTTAGTGTTGTTGTTTAGTCGTTTAGTCGTGTCCGACTCTTCGTGACCCCATGGACCAGAGCACGCCAGGCACTCCTATCTTCCACTGCCTCCCGCAGTTTGGTCAGACTCATGTTTGTAGCTTTGAGAACACTGTCCAACCATCTCGTCCTCTGTCGTCCCCTTCTCCTTGTGCCCTCCATCTTTCCCAGCATCAGGGTCTTTTCCAGGGTCTTTCCTTCTCTTCTCATGAGGTGGCCAAAGTACTGGAGCCTCAGCTTCACGATCTGTCCTTCCAATGAGTCTCTTAGTGTGGTGTGCCACAAAACAGGGTACATTTGTATTGCAGCCGGTTGAAATGTGCTTTTGATTCCTGCCCGCCCCCCCAATCCTTTTGCTCAAAACTGTGAAAAAACTGCAATGAACGTATGAGTAAAACTCAGTGCCCCCTCTTGCATGACCGGAGTCCATGCAGATACAAGCAAGCAAGGCTCCCAAGTGCCACTAGACTAGCAAGGAGGGGCGCGGTTGGCGCTGTGGTCTAAACCACTGAGCCTCTTGGGCTTGCTGATCAGAACGTTGGCGCGGTTTGAATCCCCGTGACGGGGTGTGAGCTCCCGTTGCTCTGTCCCAGCTCCTGCCAAGCTAGCAGTTTGAAAGCACACCAGTGCAAGTAGATAAATAAGTACCACAGTGGCGGGAAGGTAAATGGCATTTCCGTGCGTTCTGGCACTTGTCACGGTGTTCTGTTGCGCCAGAAACGGTTTAGTCCTGCTGGCCCCATGACCTGGAAAGCTGTCTGCGGACAAACGCCAGCTTCCTCGTCCTGAAAGCGAGATGAGCGCAGCAACCTCATAGTCGCCTTTGACTGGAATTAACTGTCCAAGGGCCCTTTACCTTTTACCTGTTGTAGCCCATCCACACTCTGCCCCAGAGCATCTCTTGTGACCTTCTCCCATACTATTGAAAGCCTGTCATTTATTCCTATGGGGAAAATTGGTTGTGTTGCATTCTGGTGCTGGTGGTGGTGAAATCAGCCCTCTGTCCTTGACAGTGGATGGCTTGGCTTCCTATTGGGGATTCCTGCAACAGGGAAGCCACATGTCTCCATTCAGACTGGACAGGTCTTACCGGAGGGCCCTTCCTGCCTCCTCAGATACCCTGTCTGTCGCAGTGATAGCCATTTTAAGATGCTCAATGTATAGTATGGGTAGGCAGACTAAGGCCTGGGGGCCGGATCCGGCCCAATCGCCTTCTAAATCCGGCCCGTGGACGGTCCAGGAATCAGCATGTTTTTATATGAGTAAGAATGTGTGCTTTTATTTAAAATGCATCTCTGGGTTGTTTGTGGGGCACAGGAATACGTTCACACCCCCAAAAAATATAGTCTAGCCACCCCCCCCAAGGTCTGAGGGACAGTGGACTGGCCCCCTGCTGAAAAAGCTTGCTGACCCCTGACATATAGGGAGCTCCTGGCCTTGCAGATCCTGCCGGATCCCTGGCTCCTCTCATCCCTGAGCCTTCAGGCCCTGCGTGCTGGGAGTCTGCCAATAGGCGGAGGACCACAGGACCCCCACCCCTGCTAAACACAATCATGGGTAGCACTTGCTTTATGGAGCTTGTGATTCCATAAGGCCTTTTGTGCAGTGCTGTCTCTCTCTCGTTCCCCTAATGGTTTTGCTGCAGGGGTTGTTGATGTCAGCAAGGACAGCTTTTGGCCTGACCAGCAGGGGTCGTTGCTGTCAGTAGGAAGTGGAACCTGGCCTGGTTTGCTGGAGTCACGACGAGGGGGGAAAGCATCTACCGAGAGAACACCCTGTAACTAAGAGGAATGCTAAAAGGCAGGAGGTCTACTGCAACATTATAAGACTCCTTTCTTTCTCCCCTTTTTAACCAGTGTTGATTCCAAAAGAGAAACCTCCCATCACAGTTGTCGGAGATGTGGGCGGAAGGATAGCCATCATCGTGGTATGTAGCTGCCTTAATGCAGCAACCTGTCGATTCTGAATTGCCTTTTAGTGTTTGAGAACGTCAGGTGGAAAGATGCTGTCAAGATGCGCATGTGTTTGTGTGTCCCCCAAATCAATTAAAAAAATAAAAACCTGGTCCACGGTATACTGCCACCATCTACTGACTTACGAGGCAGCAGGGGTCCACGTTCAGGAACCTGCCTTCCAGGGATTTCTGCAACACCTGCAGTCCCCCGGTAGAAAAGCAGGAAGGGAGGGGAACTCGGTGTTTGTAGCCTTAGTGACCCAAGATGACCTAGAATCAGGATTGCAGAGTTGGAAGGGACCCCAAGGGTCATCTAGAACAACCCCCACCTAAAGCAACCACAACAGATGGCTATCCAACCTCTGCTTAAAAACCTCTAAGGGAGGAGAGTCCATTACCTTCCAAAGGAGTCCATTCCACTGTCGAACAGCTCTTACTGTCAGAAAGTTCCTCCTGATGTTTAGTTGGAATCTCCTTTCTTGTAATTTGAATCTGATAATTCACACCTATTATTATTATTATTATTATTATTATTATTATTATTATTTGCATCTACACTCCACTTTTCTACCAAGGAGCTCAAGGTGGTATAAGCATCCCCCCCCCATTTTATCCTTACAGCAACCCTCACTCATTAGGGCTGAAAGTGAGTGGCTGGCCCCAAGGCATAGCTGTCAAGGTTTCCCTTTTTTAAAGGGAAATTCCCTTATTCTGAATAGGATTCCTCGCAAGAAAAGGGAAAAGTTGACAGCTATGGCCCAAGGTCACCCAGTGAGCTTTCACAGCTGAGTGGTGATTCGAACCCTGGTCTCCCAGGTCCTAGTCCAGCACTCTAACCACTATGCCACACAGGCCCTTATAACAGCAAGATTTATTTCAACTAATAAGAGACAGCAGAGTTGATACTGGAACACAGTGCAAAAAAATATGATTTCCAAGAAGTAAGACAGATTGTAAAAGTTCAGGAACGTTTGAATTACAGAACCAGCATGCACTGAAAATAAGAAAGACTTGACTAGCTAAAGTTACAATACCCCTTTCCTACCAACCTCAACTCCCCTCTCCGACACCACAGGCATCTGCAGTTAGCAGGAGAGGAAGACGAGGGCAACAAACAAGGAAGTAAAAAATGTTTCAGACCCTTTTGCATGGAGGCAGCCCACATGCTATTCCACAACCGAATGCATGGGCAGACAAACCAGACTCCCTAGAACCAGTCTGGAGATGAAAGCCTGGGACGGGCCCAGCTGCAGAATATTGCCAATTAAGAATGGGCGGGTGTTTTTGGGAACTCTAATGCCAGCCTCAAGATAAGGGCTGTAACTCATCAAGCAGCTGATAGTGATTACATGCTAATTCCCAGGCTGCCCTAGATCTTCCCAAGAACCCCAGCTTCTGTACTATTCTGTTCTCTTAAACCAGGAGTGGGGAATGCAATTCTAGTCAGTTATCCTTGCTGGCTCACAGATACTTTAGGGAGCATTTCTCAGCTGCTGGGATGTGTCGTTCACGTGGTGTGGCTGCGGTTTTTGACGCTTCCTTCCCACTCAGGGTCACTCAGATGAAGAAAGATCCTAAGGCAGGCATGGCCAAACTTGGTCCTCCAGCTGTTTTGGGACTACAACTCCCATTATCCCTAGTTAACAGGATCAGTTGGTCAAGCATGATGCGAGTTGTAGTCCCAAAACAGCTGGAGGGCAAAGTTTGGCCACCATTGTCCTAATGGGCCTTATATATTCTTCAAGGGGGAATTGGGACCCAAATCCATAATTATTGCTTCTGTCCATGGCCCAAACTCATACCAATGGAGGTTCTTAGTGTGTACTTTTTCCCTTTGGGAGAAATTTGAGGAGGGTGAGGTCTTGATTGGCAGTGATCTTAAGTGGCTGGGGAAACCCAGCCAGATGGGTGGGATATAAATAATACATTATTGTTAAATTATTATTATATGTTTTGGCACCTGTAGTAGTGCCAATTCCACCAATCGAAGCAGTCGAGTGGGCACATGGGGGTGAGGGAAAGGCGAGCTCGTAAGTAAAGTGGTCCCAGCTTGTTAAGGGCTTTCGATACTAATACACGATGACTGTGATTTGTGGCATCTGCATTTCGCAAGGAAATCCAGCAATCTGAAGCTGAACGTGCCACTCAGCTTCATGGCTCTCAGCCTATGCTAATACTGTGCTGCTATTGCGCTGGTGTTTTTAAATGGCATCTTTCCTTACTGTGTCACCTGCTTGGAGGTAATTGGGTTCAAGGTGCCGCTGAGTAAATCTGGGTCACATTTATCAGGTTTGGCTGCCGAGGCTGAAGAGCTGCTCCTCGTGAGCACACCAGACTGCTCTGAATTAAAGGGAGCGCTTCCCCGGCTTTTAATGGGAAGCTGAAATTCCAGCCATTGATTCCCATTCCATCGGCGTTCCTGATTCAGATCAAAAGGCTTCAAATAGTGGGAGGAGACTAATATTTGCATTTAACAAGCAAGCGAGCTCTTCTTTTTCTTCTTCGTTTAACTTAATCTTTCTACTCATGTTCAGTCTTCCGGTTTGTTTAAAGTTAACACGTTTTCAACAACATTAAAGTGGCTAATGATTATTCTCCACCCCTGTGGTTATTAGCTGAGTTGCTCATCCAGTTCTTGCATCAGATAACAAACTCCAGTGATGGCTGCTTTTACTGACAGAGGCAACCTTCATATCCCTTGCCGCGTGGGAATGGAGAGGCTGCGGAATAATCCAGCGTAACAGCTGTTGAAAGATTTGTGCGTTGGCTGGAGGATTTAGTTTTCCTAGGAAGGGTGGACTTTTAAGATGCTTGTAGGGAGAGATTAGAGTATATCTGGTGATAGGAATAAATAACCTGTGCAGTTGAAGGCATGGGTCTTCCAGATGTGTTGGACCACACTTCTCATCATCCCTGACTATTGGCCTTGCAAGCTGGGGCTGATGGGAGTTGTAGTCCAAAAAATACATTGCGTTTGCCAGATTGGGGAAGGCTGAGTGCTCTGTCTGTTTCCATTATCACGTTTGCAAGTGTGAAAAGCAAATCCATTATGTACCTCATTAAGCTTCACAAAATCAAAACACTTCGGGCCTGTGGGAATGCATATATCCCCGCTATGTCTCGCTGTGACCTGCTTGGTTAGAGAAATTGCCTACAGTGGTTTGTCATTTGGGACCCGGCGGCTGTTATCGCTGGAAATGCTTTGCAATATACAAATATATTCTTTCTTTGTTTAGCCAAAGCCATTGCAAAAAATAAAATACATCAAACAGAATAAAATACATTCCACAGCTAAAATAATTATTAAGACCAAATGTTTTGTCAGTTGCTTCCCTGAAGAATTTACAATTTCCATCCCTACAAACTTTCTCCTTAAAATTGTCGCTCAAGACAAAACAGGCCACTTTTCAGAGGTGTAGGTGGACCTGCCCCAAATTAAAAGTTAAATATCCAATCGATCTCCCTACTGGGAGATTCAAATCTTTGAACAAGGCTGCTCTTAAGTCCTTGTGGTTTGGGCAAAACCAGTGAGTAGCAGGGTAAATATTCTACATGGGCAAGCTTTTTATTCATAAGGGATCCAGGGAGAGCATCCTGCAGCAATGGCAGGGGCATAGACTGGAGCCACAGAGCTGTAAAGGCTGTTTTCCATTTGTGATGCTAGTTAGTAAGGGCGAGGAGTCTGAATGGGCAGTTTGGAATGCTAAGAGGCACATTTGGATGGGTGGACGGACAGAAGTGAGATCAGCACAAAAATCATGCCTTGAAATGGGAAAAAAGTTCGTGGTGTTGCTATTAGTACATCTAGCCCTTAACAACTTGGGACCAGTTTACCTATTAGATCGCCTTAACCTACCTGTAGCCAATCCACTGCTTCATTCTGCGGAATTGGCACTGCTGCAGGCGCCACATAATGCCCGTTCCACATTGGTAAGAAATCAAATCATTTTGTGTGGCAGTACCTACACTTGGGAACTCTCTGCCTATTGATATCAAGCAGGCAGCTTCTCTGCACTCTTTGTTGGCGCCTGCTAAAATCTTTCTTGTTTAGACAACCCTGGCCAAACGTTTAGAAAGCCGGAGTAATTTTAATCTGTTTTAGTACTGTAACTTTTGAATGTTTTAAAGCACGGTTGTAAACTCTTATAATGTCTTTTCCTAAAACACTTTAAGGGTTGTTGTTTTTTGTTGGGGTTTTTTTTGCAACCAAGCGATGTCTGATAAATCAGTTATATGTTCCCTCTCTCCCTGCTTCACACTTGGGGCATCGGGGTAGGGCACTGGCGGAGGACTGGGGGAGCGCATTGCCCCTGGCACCATCAGGGAGGGGGGTACCATTGTGGCTGCCCCTCTGACACGTGCCATGTGCCACGCCCCCGTGGGCGGCATGCCACGCCCCCAGGACGCACGCCACACCCCACGGGACGTGCGCTAGCGACACCCCCGCCTGCTCTCTGCCCCTGGTGCTGGAGCATGCAGCTTTGCCACTGGGGTAGGGGACAGAAAAAAGTTTGGAATTATTACCCCACCCACTTCTGGCCCCACCCACCAGTGGCATGTGGCCCCCGGAATATTGCCCAGAAGGAAATCTGGCCCTTAAAAAATGGTTCCTCCCTAAGTGGCTCTAGAGGGCTTCCACTTCCCTCCGGTGGCCTCGTTGAGGCAACACTGATAATCCTCTTCTCATGTCCTCTTGGCCAGGACGACATAATAGACGACGTAGACAGCTTCCTGGCTGCTGCTGAGACGCTCAAAGAGAGAGGCGCCTACAAGATTTTTGTCATGGCCACCCACGGCCTCCTTTCCTCAGATGCCCCCCGGTTGATAGAGGAGTCTGCAATCGATGAGGTAAGCTAGCAGAATGGGCTCGTTTTTCCCAAAAGGGCAGCGTGTGCCTACAGATGCTAACTTTGCAAACTGGATGAGCCGTCGATCGAGAGGGTCTGACTTGGATTCTGTAGCCACAAAGCTCCTAAAACTACCCGTATTTTTTTCCTGGGAACAGTGGGGGGGGGGGACTTTCGCGTTTAGTGTGGGATGAGGCGCTTGAGACAACAGCTCTTGGTTGCGAAAATGACAGTGTGAGGGGATCTTGCAGGGAGCTTCCAAAGCTGAGGGCCTTAGGAAAAACTGCCGACATTTGTCTCGCGCAAGTGAGGTGGTGAATTGGATGCGGGAAGGGCATTTTTGTGCCCCTCTGAAAATGGCAGAATTTAGCATTTTTAAGCCAATTTACACACAGAGAGAGCAAAAAAGGAGCATCAAGGTAACTTAAAAACCACCAATAAAAGTATACTGATAGAACCAGCCGAGATCTATAGATTATTGTGAGCCGCCCTGAGGTCTGCGGGTGAAGGGCTGTATACACATTTAATAAGTAATGATAAGAACAATGGAAAGGTTGGGGAACCTACTGAAAATAAATGGAAACGGGGTCTAGCAAAGCCATCAGTCTTTTTTCCAGAGACCTAAAAAACCCATTTCCTCACCCTGCTCCAGCCATGATGCTCTTCCTTCCTGGGCCTTCAGGTGTTCTGTAGCAAGCACAATCTGTGGCTAGACCTGCCTGGAAATGCGTGGGCTTAGGCCCTGGCTGCTGATTCAGCAGCTGCTCCCCTGTTCAAACTTCTGATTCTTGCATCCTGCCCTTAAAGGTCAGCACATAGTTAACCTTTGGAACGTGCTGCCACAGGAAGAAGTAGTGGTGGCTAACATCTTGGATGACTTGAGCATTAAGAGCATTAATTGCTAAAAACTGGAAAAAAGAAACTGTGCCACCAAAAAAGGAAAGGCAAGACAAACTGTTAAAGTATATTGAACTGGCTACATTAACAGAGATCACACTAGACAAGAGTTTCAAAAAGCATGGGGAAAATGCAGAGAATACTTCACAAAACAGTGCCCTAAAATACATATCTGGACTTGTTTCGATTAATGTCTGCAGGAGACTTTGTGGATATTTAAGTTCTAATTAGAAAAACCTTAATAATTATTCATAAAGGAAACAGCTTATAAGAAGTTAATAAGGAGGCCAGATACAGGATAAAGGAAGTCTTTTATTTGCTGGTTTGTATTGTTGTATGTTATGCTCACTGTATGTTATGTTCACATTTAATGAGGGTGGATTTCTGTATTGGGGTGTGTGTGTGTGGGTTATGTTGTAAATAAAGTTCCAATTTTATTTTTAATTTTTAAAAAGAGCATTAAGACAAATTCCTGGAGGAATAAGGGGTATTGTGGCTTGTAGCCAGGATTACTGCGCTTTCCCTCCACAGCCAAGAGGCAGCAGTGCTTCCGAATATCAGCTGCTGGAAGCCACAGGAGGAAGAGATGCTCTTGTGCTTGGATCCTACTTGTGGGTTTTCCACGGGCGTCTGGTTGGCCACTCTGAGAAAAGGATGCTGGACTAGATGGGCCAGGAACCCAGGTCCAGCAGGCTGATCGGATCAGATGGGGCCAGAAGGAAGCTGTTAAGTCCTACAAGATCCCCAAGACATAGGTCTGGCTGAGTGTGGCTGCTGAAAGGTCACAGTGGCTGAGTAGGGGATTTGAACACAGGTCACCCTGGTCCAAGTCTATTCAGCATCTCACATGGTCTCTCTGGCCCCTCCTCTTCCTTCCTTACTCCCAACACAATTCTTATAGTCTTTTATCTATAAAGGTAAAGGGACCTCTGACCATTAGGTACAGTGGTGGCCAACTCTGGGGTTGCAGTGCTCATCTCGCTTTGCTGGCCGAGGGAGCCGGCGTACAGCTTCCGGGTCATGTGGCCAGCATGACTAATCCGCTTCTGGCGAACCAGAGCAGTGCACGGAAATGCCGTTTACCTTCCCACCGGAGTGGTACCTATTTATCTACTTGCACTTTGACGTGCTTTCGAACTGCTAGGTTGGCAGGAGCTGGGACCGAGCACCGGGAGCTCACCCCGTCGCGGGGATTCGAACCGCTGACCTTCTGATCGGCAAGTCCTATATATACCTCCTGTTTTAATAATTTTTAGCTTTCCAAAACGTCCTGCAGATTTTATTTGTTTATAAGATTTCTATACCGCTTTATACATTTAATAAAAATCTCAAAGCGGTTTACAGCATATTAAATCAATAAAACATTAGCCAGGCGATGTTCCTCTGGCCTCATGAGGAGCCTCTTCAGTAGGGCTGGTGAATGTGGGCCTTGCCCCCTAGGCCAGGTGGAAAGGGCCTTGCAGGGAGCGGTCTTCACACTCACAGCCGGGCAATGTTCCTCCGGCCTCATCATTTTAAATGTGTACGTATGCTGGTCTATGACCGTAATAAAGATTTGATTTGATTGACTCCCAACACGAAGCAAAATGGGATCAGCTGAAAAACGGTTAAGTCCAGTCAAAGGCGACTATGAGGTGTGGTGCTCATCTCGCTTTCGGGTTGAGGGAGCTGGCGTTTGCCCGCAGACAGCTTTCTGGGTCATGTGGCCAGCATGACTAAACTGCTTCTGGCACAACAGAACACCGTGACAGAAACCAGAGCACACGGAAACGCTGTTTACCTTCCTGCTGCAGTGGTACCCATTTATCTGCTTGCACTGGTGTGCTTTCGAACAGCCAGCAACAAGCTGCAAGGAAGATGTACCACTCTCTCTTTTGCAGCTTTGTTTAGAAGTGATCCCGAGGTGTTTGTGGCTGCGACTCTTCCTGCCACCTTCTTAATTTCCAACCTCCCCCCTCACTCTCTTTGCCTCTCTTCCCAGGTTGTGGTCACCAACACAATCCCTCACGAGATCCAAAAGCTCCAGTGCCCCAAAATTAAGACTGTGGACATCAGCATGATCCTTTCGGAGGCCATCCGCAGAATCCACAACGGGGAGTCCATGTCGTACCTTTTCAGGAATATAGGCCTGGATGACTGACTGCTACCTTGGAAGGCTTGGAGGAGGAGGAGAAGAAGAAAAATATTTTCAGGGGCCAAACTGGACATCTACACAGAAAACCGAGCTGTGAAGCATCGTGGCTTAAACTTTGTCCTTCAATGGAACCCACTTTGTTTAGTTGCTTCCCTTCCCCATGATTTAAATTTAGTAGATGAAATTTCCAGAACTTTTTTCTTCTTTTTTTGCAAAAAGACTTTTATTGGGGGGGGGAGAACAAAAATCTAGTCTGTTACGTTTAGCTGCACTGTTGGTTAAGGACACGGTCCTTTTTGAGAAGTTATTGAGCCTCCTTGAAATGCATTGGGGGCTGTGCAGGAGAGCACCCTGCGTCTCTTGAGGGTTTGGGTGACAAGGGGGCCCAACCGTGTTGTTTTGAAAGAGAAGCCCTATCCCCCTGGGCAATGACTCCCCAGGCGTGGGATTCTCCTGGTGAGAGACCCGCAGGGCCTGTTCCCATAGAACAGGTTATCCTCATCTGCCTGTAAGTGAAAACTGTAGCCTTGCGCCCTGTGGGAGTCAGAGGACACGGAAATGGCAGTCGTGGGCTGGAGCAACAGCATGCTCCGTCTCCTGCCTCTCCTGGTCATTTCAATGAAGTTCACGCAGGAGAACTTCCTGGGAAATGGAGCTCTAAGGGTACAAATGTGCTTGCGCGCACACACACACACACACACACTCGGAGAAAAGGGTCACGGTTCCTACGTGTTCACATTCCTTTCCTCCCCGAATCAGCTTGCTTGCAAGTGCTTTGAAGGGTTAATTACATACGATTCTTTTATCTCTTTTTTTTAATATATAAAAAAAGCTACTGTATAAAGTTCGCATCTGACAAGCCAAAAAAGAAAAAAAAAAGTTGTACTGTTGTACGCAGTTCAGTGACATTTTTTGTAGAAGTGCTTTTATAGGAAAAGCATATGGAGTATGCACTGGTATTTATTTTCTGCAATGAGAAGAATAAATGACTTTGTTTTTGTGTGAGCTTCTTAGGAAATATTTGTTCGCCGGTTGTGCTCTTTTTGTCAGCGGAACAATATTCCGGGTGGTGAGTGTGTGCGTGCCGGCAGTTTCCTGCGCTCCTTCAGTCTCCCCCCCCCCTCCAAAAAAATAGCTTGTTTCGACGTTTTTGCAAGGCCTTTCCCACCTTGCAAAAGGGCAGCAGTGGGCTTCATCTCACCCTTCTGGAATCTTTTTAGCCTTGTTTGCAAACTTCCATCCCCACACCTCCTAATATGCTGTTCAACTGGGCACTCTGCAGAAACAAACCTCCTTAAACCAGCTCACACATGAGCAACATTGACATGCAAAATCCACACCTCAAGAGTGTCAGATTGGAATTTGATATCTCTTCAGCTGCCCCTGTGTTGAATGCAGAACGGGCTTCAGGAACAGCGTTCCTGGGTTAGGCTTTAACAGAAGCTGCTCATTAAACAATGCCGCTAGCTAACGAAAAGGCTGACACATTAACAAAAGAGTGTCAATGTTTAGGAGGAAGGGTGGACAAGGTGGCCTGTGAGGGGACAGACATTTGAAGGGAGAATTGCACAAAAATGTCAAGGTGCAAGTTCTGCCAAGCCAAGGACCTGTGGAGTGAGGGTGGGGGTAGGATGGGGAGAAACTCGATTCAGTTAGCATTTAAAGGCAAAACCCATCAAATTCACCTTTTCTAAAAATGATGCACGAACTGAAACACGGCTATCCTTCAACATTCGACCTTCTCTGAATTTTGCAGCGCAGTTCACCAGCCAAAATGTGCTTACATTCACACATTAGTGAATGTATCCTACAAAAATTCTATATATTATGGGAAGTGGCTTTGTGTGCATCGGGGGAAATTGCATGCCAAAATGCATACTAGGAGAAATTTGACCTAGAACGTTGATGAGTTTCATGAGGAAGTCACAGATGTGCTTAAGACTGAGCTTTAAGACTGGAAAAATGAGAAACTGAATAATAATAATAATAATAATTTATTATTTATACCCCGCCCATCTGGCTGAGTTTCCCCAGCCATTCTGGGCGGCTCCCAATCAAGTGTTAAAAACAGTACAGCGTTACATATTAAAAACTACCCTGAACAGGGCTGCCTTAAGATGTCTTCTGAATGTCAGGTAATTGTTTATCTCTTTGACATCTGATGGGAGGGCGTTCCACAGGGCGGGGTGCCACTACCGAGAAGGCCCTGTGCCTGGTTCCCTGTAACCTCACTTCTCGCAATGAGGGAACCGCCAGAAGGCCCTCGGCGCTGGATCTCAGTGTCCGGGCTGAACGATGGGGGTGGAGACGCTCCTTCAGGTATACAGGACTGAGGCCGTTTAGGGCTTTAAATGTCAGCACCAACACTTTGAATTGTGCTCGGAAACATACTGGGAGCCAATACAGGTCTTTCAAGACCAGTGTTATGTGGTCCCGGCGGCCACTCCCAGTCACCAGTCTAGCTACCGCATTCTGGATTAATTGCAGTTTCCGGGTCACCTTCAAAGGTAGCCCCACGTAGAGCGCGTTGCAGTAGTCCAAGCGTGAGATAACTAGAGTATGCACCACTCTGGCGAGACAGTTTGCGGGCAGGTAGGGTCTCAGGCTGCGTACCAGATGGAGCTGGTAGACAGCTGCCCTGGACACAGAGTTAACCTGTGCCTCCATGGACAGCTGTGAGTCCAAAATGACTCCCAGGCTGCACACCTGGTCCTTCAGGGGCACAGTTACCCCATTCAAGACCAGGGAATCCCCCACACCCACCCGCTCCCTGTCGCCCCAAAACAGTACTTCTGTCTTGTCAGGATTCAACCTCAATCTGTTAGCCGCCATCCATCCTCCAACCGCCTCCAGGCACTCACACAGGAAACTGAAAACGACAAGATCCACCCATCCCTGGACAGTCATGGATGGATCAAATACCTTTAGCTGAATAGTCCTCTTGGTTTCATGTTGGATTTATGTGAAAGAGACCCCTGACCCCTCCAGTGTTTCCCATCATCCCAACATAACCGAGAAAGCGCCACTGTTTTGCGTTGGCAGGGTTTATCTGTGGCTGTGGCCTTAGGAGGGATCGGAGATGTTTTTTTCAGTTCTACAGCGGCACATGGTTCAGAAGGGCGCACCTTAGGGTTTTGAAGAATGATCCTAAAACACCTGAGTGTGAGCAGGTCGTGCAGCCCTGGGGCCCCTCAATCATGGGGGGCGAAGGTGGGGCGTGTGTCCTGAGCCATGCCCATTGGTTTGGGTTTTTTTTGCAACGTCCACGCAGCTTCGTCGGAACAAAAATGCCAGCCAGCATTCAAGTTTGCAAATTTAGCAGCCCACCCACCCCTGTAGCTCTGATGAACCCTCAGTTCATTCGTATCCGCTGAGAAAGGGGGCAGACTCTGCCCTAAGGCCAAGACAGCTCACCCACATGTACTGCTTCTCGAATCACAAACGGCCTACCCCCAGGCTGTTTAATGATCAATTCCTTGACTCTTGAAAGCAGCTGGCCTCTCCCTCTTTGTTGCTGGGTCCAGGCACGATGTCCGCAGAAGACTTTCCTCCGGCTGAAATGCCCACTCCTTCGCCCCACTTCAGCGTTACTGATGTGATCGTCGTGGTGGCGTATTTCCTTTTGAATTTGGCAGTGGGGATATGGGTAAGGTGGGCAAATCTTTAATCGGTTTAACGGCCCGATCGACTGTGCGACGGCCTCAGTTGACCAATGGGACTGAGCATTCGGGGGGATGCCAGCTTCTTAAAAGAAGCAGTTTGGATTCTGCTGCCTGGGCACAGAACATGCTCAGCCGTATTGGGATGTTTTCTCTCCCCACACCCCCTAGGTCCCCCGCCACCAGAATTCATTTGCATTTCTGCAAATCTAGTTGCTCTGCCGAACCTGCCGATATCTCCCTGTTGCACGTAACTGGTGCCATTTTGATTGAGCGCTCATGCCTGAATGTCAGAAATTAGAGGGAATATTATTATGGTTATTATTACCCATCCTGCCTCTAAAAATAAAGTAAGATTCTAGTCCTCATGGTTTTGAATAAAGGGTGAAATTAAATAAGAATCTGCTTTGCACAAGTCAGAACATTGGTCCATCTAGCTGGGTGTTGTTTGCAACAGATTGCAACAATCTTTTGCTGAGGTTTTGAGCCCCAGGCCTAGGTGGCTAAATCCGACCCTCTAAGCCCCCTCTCAGCTGACCACACCTCTGCTTTGCACCCTCCTTTAGTGTCTGTCTTGAAAATGTCTGCCTGCAATAATTATTATCATCTTTCTGAATCAGAATTTTGTTTATTGCCTGCATCCAAAGGTCCCAGGGTGGGTCAAAGCAATTTAAAACACAACTTTTTAGGAAGCAGCTGCAGCTTGCAAAGAGTTCCAGCTTCAACCCATGGCATCTAGGGCTGGGAATGCACCCCCCCACCTGAATTCCTGGAGAGCTGCTGCCGGTCAGTGTAAACAAAATAGAGTTAGATGGGCCAATGTTCAGACTAGGAGTGGGGCTGCTTCCTATGTTCAAAATGAGAAGAGGGTGGGTCTGAAAAATATGCAGCCCAACTGAAAGGCCAGGGAAAAGAGGCATATCTTCAGAGTATGATGCAAACCATATAGGGAAGGAGCCAGACATGCCTCTGTGGGGAGGGATTTCCACAATTTAGGGGCTGCCACAGAGAAGGCCCTGTACCCGGCCACCCCCTACCCAACTTCTCAGGGTGGTGGAAATACGAAGAGGGTGCCCTCTGCCGATCTAAAGACCCAGGAGACTCTATAGGGAAGGAGGTGGTCTTTCTGATACTTGGGGGCTATATTGTGGGGCAGGAGGAAATCTCTGTCCGGTTTCCACGCTCTAGGCACAGTTTGTCTGTCACTCATCCCCTGCTTAGTCGTCTTTTTGCCTGTCCAGTCTTCCTGCAGGGCAAACAGAAACACTTTGAGTGGATACTTCCTGGCTGGGAGGAACATAGCCTGGTGGCCGGTAAGTAGATGCAACTGCCTGTTTGATTTTGGGGCTCCACAAGGTTTCACCCAAGCCTCACAGAGGGTGGTGAATTACATGTATTGTTGGAAAAAGAGCAAGTGTTGTCCCCACTTCCCCTCCAAAAAACCAATAGGGCACAAGAACATGCAGATCTGCACAAAATGTGCACATACTAATTTATATTTCTAGATGTATGTTTAGAAAGTCACTTTCGTGCAAAGCAGACCCATTGGAAATAATAGCTCCAAGTGACTCGTGCATTAATTTCAGTGGGTCTACTCAGAGTAGGACTACCGCTGGGTACAAGCCAACTAGGTAAAGTTAAAGGTACCCCTGACCACTAGGTCCAGTCGCGGACGACTCTGGGGTTGCAGCGCTCATCTCGCTCTATAGGCTGAGGGAGCCGGTGTTTGTCCGCAGACAGCTTCCGGGTCATGTGGCCAGCATGACTCAGCCGCTTCTGGAGAACCAGAGCAGCACACGGAAACGCCGTTTACCTTCCCGCCAGAGTGGTACCTATTTATCTACTTGCACTTTGATGTGCTTTTGAACTGCTAGGTTGGCAGGAGCAGAGACTGAACAACGGGAGCTCACCCCGTCATGGGGATTTGAACCACCAACCTTCTGATCGGCAAGCCCAAGAGGCTCGGTGGTTTAGGCCACAGCGCCACCCGCATCTCGCAAGCCAACTGCTGCAGTGCTAATGCCAATACCATGCAGTTGTTAGTTGGAGTGTCAGACTGGGACCTGAGAGACCAGGGTTCAAATCCCCACTTGGCCATGGGCCAGTCCCTGCCTCTCGACCTAACCTACCTCGCAAGGTTGTTGTGGGGGATTAAATGAGAACGGGAAGAGTTGGAAGGGACCACAAGGGTCGTGCATACCAACCGGCTGCGATGCAGGAATCTTTTGCCCAACGTGGGAATCGAACCCACGACCTGAAGATGAAGAGACTAATGCTTTACCAACTGAGCGATCCTCGGAGGGAAAAAAGTGATATATAAAAACAATAAATGAATGGACCAGGTGACCAGTGTGCCTGCTCAGTCAGGGCTGTCTTTACCTGGGGGTGCAAATTCTGGGGGGTGCCCAGCACCTGCCGCTGAAGCCGCCTAAGCTCTTAACTATCTACCTGTTATGAAATAATAAATAATTTTGATCAAGCTAGAATAACAAAATACATATATCTAGGTATTACCGAATTGTATACCTACTATTTCACTAAAGGACTATCAACTTTGTGCGCTCATTTACCAAAGACATGCTGCGCCAGCGCTGCCACTTGTCATTCACAGCAGTGACGCTTGTCAGACTCAACGACGCTGCTTGCCATTGTCAACGGTGCCGTGCACGTGAAATTAACTAAATTTGTGGGCGCTGGGCAGATCTTTGCACCCCGTCGGCGCATATGCTAAAAATGGCCCTGCGCTCAGTCCAAACTCTTCTCTGTCCTCTTTCTTTCTGGCACCCGCAAGTGACTGCTGCTTTGGGAGATAAGTTTAAATACCTGATTTTTAACTCTTTCCAATCGATAATTTTAATGCTTTATTGTTGTTTTTTTGTAATTTGCTTAGGGTTTTTGCAATTTGATTGGAATAATAATAATACTGCTTTTGGCCTGCAGATCGGTGCCTCGCTCTTTGCCAGCAGCGAAGGATCGAGCCTTTTCATTGGACTGGCTGGCACAGCAGCTGCAGGAGGGGTAGCAGCGGCCGGCTTCGAATGGAACGTGAGTAGTGCCGGATTTATGTATAAGCTAAACAACCTATAGCTTAGGGCTCCACTCTCTTGGGAGCCCCCAAAAAAATTTCAAGGAAAGAAAACCCTGGATGTACAATTCCAAAATATAAGATAAAAAAACAAACAAAAAAAAACCTACATACAGTTAGAGCTTAATAATTATTTCACTATTAATATACTTCTTAATTGTGTTTCACTATTAATATACTACCGGTGATGAAGAAACTGAAATTGACCAATTCTATGAAGACTTACAACACCTTCTAGAAATGACACCAAAGAAGGATGTTCTTCTCATTATAGGGGATTGGAATGCTAAAGTAGGGAGTCAAGAGATAAAAGGAACAACTGGATGGTTGTTTCAGCTAGTGCTTATATCCGAAGCACAAATCCCTTTTCTTTTACACATATGCACCAATGTGCAGGGCCACACTTAAGTGTTTTTATATCTCTTTCCAGGCCACCTTTGTCCTTCTGGCGTTGGCCTGGGTGTTTCTTCCCGTCTACATCTCTTCAGGGGTAAGTTAGGAACCGGGTTTGGTCCCGTCCTTTGGTGTGTGGCCTTCCTGAACCCCAACAGCTGCTTTTTACGACCTCTCCCGTACCGATTCAGTGCAACCGACCCAGGTGGCTGAGGCTCATGGCCTTCTCTGTACTTGGCAATTCAAATAATAATAATAAATACCTTGCAAGGCTCCTGGGTGAAAAGCCACCACAATTTATTTTAACGTGATTCTAATGCTGTGTTTTACGTTGCCGTAACCTGCCCTGGGACTGTCAGATAATAAATGGTGCGACTCCCCAGTGAGGCAGGTTTTCCACATTTCTGCAAGAGTTTGTCACCATGAAAATTCACCTGTGTTTTAGTACAAATTCCTTTTTGGTCATACAATCCAAGTGAAAAATTGGGAAAGGTTGTGGAAGGTGGATATCAATTTCACAGCCTGTTATACGATAAAAGAGAACATGATTTTACTGCTGGTACCTCACTCTGGAAAAATTGGCTGAGATTTACAAAAAGCAGTCAAACTTATGCTGGAGATGTAAGAAGGAGGCGGGAACCTTTTATCACACATGGTGGGGATGTAAAATTGTAAGGAAATTTTGGAACGAGGTATACGAGGAGCTGAAAAAATTATTCAAGATTTCGTTTGCCAAAAAGCCAGAGGCTTTTTTCTTAGGCCTACTATCAAATGACATTTCCAGAGATAAGAAAAATGTATTCCTTTACCCAACATCTGCCCCCCCCACTAATATAGGCATTCTTATCCACACTTTTCGCTAAGATGTACTTTTTTGTACACATTATTTGGCTGGGGAACAGCAGCACAAAATTCGGAGAAGCGCAAATTATGCTGTGTTTTGGTTTGCATGCAAAGTGTAAATTAAGCTAGGCTCACGTTAAAATCTGAACGGAGATGGAATCTCTCCCACCCCAAATTATAACACTGGCGTCTGGTTCTTTCCCTTCCTTTCCCTTCCTCCGACCAGATTGTCACCATGCCAGAATACCTCCAGAAGCGTTTTGGCGGGGAGAGAATCCGGATATACCTCTCATCCCTGTCTCTCCTGCTTTCCATCTTCACCAAAATATCGGTGAGTGGCTGCTAGCCAGCGAAATAATGCCTCTCAAATACGGTGAGGTGGGGGGAAAAATATAAATAAAACCAATAAATGAAGTAGACAACCGTTCTGGGGTGTTTAAACCTCTCTGCCCTGCCCCAGCCCCCGAGGCAGACGCCAATTACCCAATGCAAAATTGGGGACGGGGCAATAACCTCCTTTATTTAGGAAATACGCACAGATCTGCTGAGGAAGTGGGGGGGAGGGTGTGTGGAATGTGGGGGGGCACCCCTGGCTTGCGTCCCCCCCCAAGTTTGTTCGAGGGTCATTGTGGCCCCTGGGATTAAAAAAGATTAGCCTCCTGTGTTTTTAAATGGCTTGGTAGCCCAGTCGGTAAAGCATGAGACTCTTAATCTCAGGGTTTGGGGTTCGAGACCCATCTTGGGGCAAAAGATTCCTGCATTGCAGGGGGGTTGGACTAGAGGGCCTTTGTGACTCTGTGGTTTGAAATTATATTTAACTGATTACTGTTTTGATGTGCGTTTGGACGCTGCTTTTGGACTAGCGCCTTTTTAGAAAGCAGGTTAGGAAACTTAGACTAAAAAATAAAATAAACATGGATCCCAGATGTTCATATTGCAAGGTAGAGAAATGACCTCTGCCTGTGACCTTCCCCAATGGGTCAGTGGGGCCTAATCTGACCAACCTATTGCAGATGATGGTTCAGGCGTCATACAACTCTCTCGTCAGCAGGAGGCGCTGTTGGTCAAGTTGCTGTCCCGACCCAGAGCTTCCTGTGGCCTGTTTTCTTTTGCTGAATATTATTCTGCCTCCGTCTGTTTGACATTGGCACACCCTTGCTTGTTTCCCAGAAAAGCCTTTGGGCAACAGATCTGTGCTCCAAGAGGAGGCTTAAATATACGAAGCAAGATCAGGACGAAATTAAGCCCTTTTACATCCCTTTGAGTTAAGGGTTGAAGTGCACACTTAACTTTCCTTGTCGAAACCAGTGGGAATTAAACGAGCATAATGTTTCTTTATAGGCCAATTTTGAAAGCAATAAACTTCAGCTGAGTCATGATGTTATGGGGACAATTATTGCTGTTTGGAATAAGTATATATAATGAATGACCTTATTATCTTGTATAATATGGTACAAGGAGGGGAGGTTGATTAATGGCTACTGGCGCGTGATGGCTTTTTCGAACCTCCAGCCTCAGAGGCAGTCTACCTCTGAATCCCACTTAATAGATCGGGTGACGAAAGAGATTCAGCCAGTGGACTTAGATCCTTACCTCCCCTCCCACTCCCAAGGGCCAGCTTTGAAAGCTGGTTAGGGCTGTTCACCTGCCAGTCACATGACATTACAGTGAAGTCAGGTGACCTGTGCGGTTTGAAATCTAATCGCACTGTGCTTTGCAAGCGCTGACGATCAGTTGGTCATTGGCAGGGCTTGGGGAAGTGGCCGGGCTTTCCAGGTGTCGATGAACAGCTGATTGACAGCACCTCCTTGCGGCCAGCTTAATGGTGTAGATAGGAAATGCCAGTGTGGGATTTTTTTGGACCAAACTCGGTGTAAGAAGGTCACAGCAAGAGGTTCTGAGGGACACAGCAGGTATAATTAATTAGTTGTAAAGTGGCTAAGCGTCTTGATCACACCGCATCTAATAAGGTACTTCCTGGGAGGAAGTGTTTAATTGGGAAGAGGAAGGCTCATTAGATTACTGAGAAGATCTGAATGGAGAACCAGGTTCTCAACAACCAGGTTGATTCCCCAAGGGGACCCAGGACCCAGTCCAAGGACTGAATCGTCCTTGTCTGCTAATAGCATTTGTCACCTCTCCGTAGCTCTTGCTCAGGAGTCAGAATAAATGTGGGCGTACCAAAAGCTTGCATATCTAAGCTAATAGCCCGAATGGCTTATTTAAAAATTATTATTATTATTATTAGTATTATTAGTATGTTTCTGCATTCCTCAATCTTGGCTCCAGGCCAAATTGGCAAAGCAGTTTAAAAGGTTGTGACCAGATGAATCCTTGTTTATTTATTACAGTGGTACCTCGGGTTACAGACGCTTCAGGTTACAGACTCCGCTAACCCAGAAATAGTACCTCAGGTTAAGAACTTTACTTCAGGAGGAGAACAGAAATCGTGTGGCAGAAGCGGGAGGCCCCATTAGCTAAAGTGGTACCTCAGGTTAAGAACAGTTTCAGGTTAAGAACAGACCTCCGGAATGAATTAAGTTCTTAACCAGAGGTACCACTGTATTACATTTATATACCACCGTTATCTTCCAAGGATCTCAAGGTGGTGTACATGGTTCTCCTCCTCCCCATTTCATCCTCACGACAACCCTGTGAGGCAAGTCATGCTAAGAGATGGCGACTGCCCCAAGGTCACCCAGTGAGCTTCATGGCTGGGTGGGGATTTGAACCCTGGTCTCCAAGGTCCTGGTCCGACACTCTCACCCAGGCACCCCCAAACTCGGCCCTCCAGATGTTTTGGGACTACAACTCCCATCGTCCCTGACCACTGGTCCTGTTAGCTAGGGATGATGGGAGTTGTAGTCCCAAAACATCTGGAGGGCCGAGTTTGGGGGTGCCTGCTGTAACCATTAAGCCACATTGTCTCTTGTGTGAGAGGTGTGGCCTGGAGGGAAAGTGTCCGCGGAGGAGGTAGAGCCTGGGGAGAAATATAAGTGCAAAGTGGGGAGGCCAAGGAGCGTCATATTTGGCCCCTGGCCCTGAGCTTCCTGGCCCCTGTTTAATGTGTGAAACAACACATTTAAACAATAAGGAAGCTCTGAACTATCCACCTTCATCCCTTTGCTGCTGTAGATTCTTGCAAAGCACATTCAAACTTCTGTTGTCATCTTGGGCTCCCCTGTCACACCTAGGTGTGACTTCCAGACTCCCGTCCATTGTTATCCCCACACCCCTCATTGGCCCTGCCTGGGATCTTTCTCGGTTCCCCAAAAGGACATGCCGTCTTGCGGCCGCCTTGCAAAGGCTGGTCCCTATTCTTTAATTGCATTGCAACAGCTCTCTGAGTCACTCCCTATTCAGCCACGGAGTGACTGGTCCTGTCCGGGAGATTAAGCCAGCATCTCACCCCCTTCACGGGAGATTTGGATAATCTTTGTTGACAGCGAGTTATTGAGATGAATGTCTGCAGACACGCGGGGTGGTGTGAAGAGGTGGGGCAATTTATTCAGGCCAGGTATTTTGCTGACGGTAAGCACCTGCAGAGGTCGGGTGCTTGGGAGGCAGCTGGGAGAAATGGACCCAAGCCAACGGGAGAGGCTTTTCCAAGTATGGAGACGGTCAGGGTTAATAGAGGGGCGAGATGTTCCCTTGGGTATCCTGGTCCCTATACAGCAGGGAAGGGGGACCTGTGGCTGTCCAAATATTGTTGGACTCCAGTTTTAAAATGTCCCATTGATAGGGTTGTCAGGTCAGGAGCTTCCCAGATCCTGAGCATACCCTCCAACATTTCTCCGATGAAAATAGAGACATCCTGTTCAATAATAATAATATTTATACCCCGCCCATCTGACTGGGTTGCCGCCCCAGCCACTCTGGGCGGCTTCCAACATATATAAAAACACAACAAACTATTAAACATTAAAAAAAAACTTCCCTACACAGGGCTGCCTTCAAATGTCTTCTAAAGGTTCTATAGTTATTTATCTCCTTGGCTCAGGGGTCACATAACTCCATACTGTCCAACATTTATCCAATGTAAATAGGGACATCCTAAGGGAAGGCGGGGGATGCGGGTGGCACTGTGGATTAAACCACAGAGCCTAGGACTTGCCGATCAGAAGGTCGCCGGTTCGAATCCCCACAACGGGGTGAGCTCCCGTTGCTCAGTCCCTGCTCCTGCCAACCTAGCAGTTCGAAAGCACCTCAAAGTGCAAGTAGATAAATAGGTACCGCTCCGGCGGGAAGGTAAACGGTGTTTCCGTGCGCTGCTCTGGTTCGCCAGAAGTGGCTTAGTCATGCTGGCCACATGACCCGGAAGCTGTACGCCGGCTCCCTCAGCCAATAAAGCAAGATGAGTGCCGCAACCCCAGAGTCGTCCACGACTGGAACTAATGGTCAGGGATCCCTTTACCTTTACCTTTAAGGGAAAGCAGGATGTTCTGGGATCAAATCAGAAACTGGGATGGCTTCTGTAAATCTGGGATTGTCCCTGGAAAATATGGACATTTGAAAGGTCTGAGTTTTCAGGGCCCAGACCTGAGACCTAGGAGATACCCCTGGGGAAGTCATGGGGAGGGAGACAGGTGCTGGCCGAAGGGTTAACCAAGTGAGCTTCATGGCTGAGTGGGGATTTGAACCCAGGCCCAATTCCAACACCTCTCAGCCTCGCTTACAGAGAGGCAGAGCTGGAAAGTTTTTACTATTATCCCGATAAGATGGGAAATTGGAACACTGCATGCTTTGATTTAAGAGTCTTCCTTTGGAGCAGTTCAAAGATAACTTTCCTGGAAAGGATGGCTAAAAATCTCACCCCACCTTAGAAGTCTTGCTTCTGCTGCCAGCCCCAAATAAGTGTAAGGTTTTCACTGACGAACGCAAGCAACTGATGTTCCTCCTCCCGGGAGCTGTTGAGACGGACTTCAAAGGCTTTTTATAGCTGCTGTTTTTCTTTTATGAATGGGCCAGGCCTGCTTCTCCTTCTCCCCCTAGATTTATTTTCAAAATGAGTCTGTTGTTGTGCTGAGAAGCCATCTTAACAAGCTCCCTCGCCCGTCCGTCCCTGCCGAATAATACGAGAGGAAGCTGGAGGGGCCGTGTTTTGGTATTCCAAGAAGAGGAATGATGATGGTTTCTTTAATGGGATGCAGATGGCTGCCAACACCTTAAACATCCTCCGCCCTCTCTAAGTAATTATGAAAGCTTTGCTTTCACCTGCCATTGCAGCTTGCCAAATTGCAGCTTGCCAAAGCAGGGAGGAAAGGCGAGGTGAGAGGGATGTGTCTCAGGGAATAGAGACCCCCTGGTCCTCCAGAGATTGAGGGACTCCAG